ATTTTATTGACTTGTTATAACATAAAGTGGGCTTATTAACATCTTAATATAACTTGTCATTTTAATAACGTGTGCTTGTAAATGCATTAATAATATGTTTAGATTAATGTGAATTTAGATTTGAATCAAATTACTCATTTGGATATATAAGAATTTATGGTCTATTTCTCATTATAATTCATTTATGATTTCAAATATTCCTTCTATGTCCTAGTTATTTAAAATTTTAATTATTTCAAACCTTTTATTCTATGTGATTTTATATCTCTGTAACTTTTGTATCTTTTCTCAACTTTCAATTTTATCTCTCATTGATTGAAAATAGAACTAAATTTGTCACTTTTCTCATCTTGAATCTCACCTTGTTTATTTTTTCATTTGAAATTGTTTAAACTATCAAAAGAAATAATTTTAAATACATAAATTTTAAATATAATATTTGAAATGTAAGATTTTAAATATAAAATTCACATCAAAATCTGTTAATCCAAACACTACTTAGAAGAATTTGTTAATAATACTTTTTAAATCTTCAATCTCTTTGACTTATGAAAATATAAAATGTATTTGTTAAAACCGTAATTTATTAACAAATAAGGATATTTTGATTATTTTTATTAAAAATATATTTTCAATTCAGTGCACTGTATTCTCAAATTCTGCTAGTCATGATTTGAAAGTAAACCCTCGCCAGAGTTCGTTGAAATTCTCCATTTTAATGGCAATGAAATGTATGTATGCATGAAAAATTAAATTTGGTATCACTGGAACGCACAACAAAATATTTAAAAGAAAGGATGAAAGATAAAAACATCTCAGATGACCGAATCACCCCTCCTCCTAATAGGGCAAATATTTGGGCTATATTCTATCTTTAATGAAGTCTCTTTGCTACCGAAGAAAGGCAGACAAAACCCGGCCCAGGAGCCGTTTTGAATTTAAACAAGTGGCCTGACTCAACTCTAAATAACATAATTCCATGAATGTGTGGGCCTTTATTTAAAATAAAAAAAAAAGTAATTGACCAATATTTAACGGGAATTCCCTGAGCCGGACAAAAAAAACCCCATGCCCGTTACTTTATTATTCTCTCTTGGATGTAAAATCAAGAAGAGCAAGTTACTTCAGCCTCCACATCTACCATTTCCATAGCTTGTCCCTCTCCACTGTGATCAATAATCTCGGACCTTTGTGTTTCTGAAGCATTGTTGAGGAGATGTAAGAGATAATTTGAGCACAAGAAAAACGTCGCGACCAGTACATACACACCAGAGAAGACACGTTGATGAAGAACAACTTGACTTGAGAGACGAGGACCAGCAGAAGCAGCTGGCAGGCCAGAGTTCCAAAAACATGGCAAACCACAATGTTAAAATTGCGTGAGCGTTCATTGAGTCGATCAAATTGAAAGGGCAAGAGGGAAATGACGCAGATAAATTGTGTGATGAGGAAAAGCGGCCTGATGGAAGGGTGGTCATGGAAAGGGTTGTTGATGGATCCTTGGTACTTTATTTCCACCAAAGCAAGAAGCAAGCCAACTACATATGCGTTTACGGTGTGCGGTGAAATTAAATTTGAGGCCCTTCGCAAAAAAATGCATTAGAAAAGTTTAAAAACGGATCAAGTAAGGGAAAATAAAATGATAAAAAAACGCAAATAAATAAATAGGCGGTAACCAGTGATGTGAAGAAAATTTGAATGGCATGGCTACTTGAGGAGGAAGCGTGAGAAGGATCAGAGAAGGAACGAAAGAATGAAGAGATGGAGCTGATGAAGAAAGGAAATGAAAGTGGAGGCATTCTTAGCTTGTGTCGTCCTCAAGATGTTAAAGAGAAGCTGAGAATGATCATGGATGGGTCATACTAGCCTGCAGAGGGACATCTTAATATTTAGATATCAGAAAAGTACAAGGCCGTTCTTTGAGCCTTCGAATTGATGAATGAAAAGTTGCAACCTTTTTTTGGGGAAACGACAAGACGAAAGGTTACGAAAGTCCAAAATAAGCTATGTAGCCAGGTAGAGCTTGGAGCTTGGAGCTGATTATACATGTACGTAGTAGTCATTTTTTGTTTTTTGGATTTGAATCATGTTGATTCTTCAATGCGGGTTCATAGTGGACGTTATTCTTTATTATGAACCCTAGGAGAGTGAAGTTACTGTAGGCACTAAGGAGAAGAAAAAGAAGCAATAACCTCTGGTTCGAGCCACCTTCGTTTCCTTTTCTTTCTTTCTTTTCTTATCTTTTGTTTTTTTTTTTTTTTGGGTACTCGATATATGGCTTTACCCAATCCACTACATCGATAAAGCATTCTTTGATCGTGTACTTTTGAAATGCGTCACTTAGCTAGGAAGAAGGTTCATACATATTGTACTAACAAGCGCACCCCGTAGCTGCGTCTTTGCCCCGAGCTCAAAGATGAGTGATCCTTCCGCAGGTTGGAAGTGATAACTAGAATTCTTGATTGGTACAAGTACTTGTGATAACTAGAACTCTTGATTTACGAAGCTCTGAGGATGGGCAAGACTCAACGGTTTGAACGTGGTTTGGGACATGGGCTTCAAAAGTGTAATCGTGGGATCTGATTCCAAGCTACCGGTAGATAGCCTGCTGAGGGGACACTATACCAATGTTACTGGTAGCCTGGTACGTGAGAAGATTAAACAGATGCTGAATCTGAAATAATGATCTATTGTGATACAACATATCTCAAGAGAGCAGAACAAGATTATTACAGACAAGTTGGCAAAGGAAGGTCTGAATATCTCTTCCTTTTATGACATGTCTCCACCTTCTTTAAGAGCCCTGGTGCAAAGTCTATGGGATCTGATGATCTCCGGCTTTCCATTATTTAGCTTTCTCTTGGGCTTAGCCCATCTCTTGCATTATTAAAAAAAAAAATGTACTCCTTATAAAGTACTTTTAATTATTTTATTGGAACTAAGAAATGATTATTAATTTATTAAATATATTTTTAAATAAAAAATTTAATCTTATTAAATCAAACTTATAGCAGAGATAAAATTTGAAAATGATAATAAATAGTTGTATACGCCATATAGTAAGAATTAAATAATCCTTCTAATGAGTATTCTATGACAAGAAAGGAGCAAATGGCTTGACACATCAATGTGATCCCCCTCCAAAGCTCTCTTGCAATGACATACAAGTCAACAAATTTTTTCACATAGAAACAACCCCTTTTTAAGTTTGTATTTTATGTAACAGCAATCAACTTTAATCCTCAAGAAAATTTGAAGGCATACAAAGAGTAACATCAAAAGAACATCACCAATATTATATATATCAATAGATATTTTAAAAAATAAGTTTTCATTAATAATCACTATTCTGATGTTACTTCTCATTATTTCACTTTTTCAATATATTTTTTCATCTCTCTTATTGATGAAGTGTATCTTTGGAAGCTAATAGAAAAATTAAGATTATAAAATGTATATAATGAACTATGTTAGTGTGTGAAATCTTGTTAAAAATATCTTATAAATTGGGATGGAGAAAGTATTTCAAATTTTGAGAACTTCTATTAATATACAGTGCCATGTTCATTATTATATATTAGTCACTTCTAATCATTTAATTACCAAAATTAAGAATAGTTAAATTATTGATATTGTCTACATTTTTTTTCAACTTATCCATATTAAATGCATCATTTTTAAAAATATTTTCTTTTTCATAAAACCTTTTCTTCCTTCCTTATTGAAAATTATTGTGAAAGGATAAAATTAAAAAAATTAATTAATTGTTCATCATTTTATATGAAAAAACTTATCAAAAAGACCATAAATTTTTATGAACAAATGAAAATATTAGAATGTCCACGAACCAAATTATTCAAATCCAATGAGACCCAAACATTGCCGTGTATTATGCACGCAAATCAAAACCAAGTCAAGTTATGAAAAGTAAAGATAAATGAATTGTTAAATTATTTAAGTATGAAAAGTTTTATATTAAATAAAATTAAGTTTAATAATTAATATAAAATAAAAAGAAATGACATCATGAACGAGAGCTTTAATTAAGCTTAACTTTATTTAACGTGGACTTCTCGTATTGTTTAAATTCAATCACTGGACAACCTAACCTTAATGAATGTGAACAGAGATGCCCATGGCCTACATTTGCAGCACTATTACCATCTTGTGAAACATGCTGTATCTGAAAATATTTCTGGAATCTCAGCATATCTCTAATCTCCATCATGACAATACCGACGCTGTCACGATAATTCAAAGTGGAAAAGATCAGCTGGTCATAATTGTTATGGTTTAACTGATGGTATAATAATTAAATAAAAAATACTTCCTTCGTCCCCAATCATAAGACATGTTTAAATAAAATTTTACATACCAATAAAATTTTATTAAATATACTTAACAACATTATTTTTAAAAAAAATATAAATTTTTAAAAATATCCGTAATTTAATATATTAAAAAGAGAAAGGATAGAAATTAATTACAGAAAGAGGAGTGATATTATTAAAATTTATACATTTAATGAAACTTCAATTTATCTAAAGTATTTATATTTTAAAATAAAAAAATTTTATAAAATGTCTATAATTTGGGACGTAAGGAGTTCTATTTATATACATATATATTAAAAAAGTAGTCTAACAGTTCCAGGTCTCGGGTATTTCTCCAGGTATTCAGGAACGGCCTTGCCACATCTGAAGCTTTATGCAAGAAATGATGTAAAATTGATCCAAGGTGTAAAGTTTGCGGCCTTTATGATGAATCATTGGAGCATTTATTCCTGTTATGCGAGTGGGTAAAAGATGGGTGGTCTGGCGTCTGGGTGTCATTTGAATATTATGATCAACCCACTGCTTATCAGTAATATAAGGGATTGGCTCTACCATCTTATGGGAAAGCTTATGTGGCTTTGTTTTGCTGGAACATTTGGAGAATTCGTTGCAGAAGTGTCTTTGACGATGACCCACCTGATCCTGGGAAATTAATGATGCAAACGGATGCAGGCGTTCTTAGAGTTCTGGAAGGCTCGAGGTCTACTAACTCAGATTCCTGAATCTGGTCTGCGAAATACTGATTGTTGCTCATCCACGCCTCCTGTGGGTGTTATAAAAATCATTTGTGACGGGGCATATGAGGGCCATAGTAAAAATGCTGGTATTGGCAAAGTCGTACGGGATTTCCACGGTATGTTCCTAACTGGATGGTGTGGAAGCATTGTTGCAGATTCTGGTTTCTTGGCCGAACTAAAGGCTGTCAAGAAAGCTCTTGAGTTAAGCTCATATTGGCCTGGTGTGGGTTTAATGTTAGAGGTGGACTGTGAATCTGTGACGAGGTTTTTAAACTTTGCACCAGCAATAATTTATACTTATGTGATTGGGAATACCAGCCTTTACTTAGATATCTGGGATATTTTGGTGTCTTTGAGCTGTGTTACTTTCTCTCTCACTCGCCGTGGTGAGAACCTGGCTGCTAATTGTTTAGCAGGTTTAGCTTCAAGGGAGCTGGAATCAGTTGGTTCGGTGTTCACACCACGCCCTCCTTTAGCACTTGTTTTGCTCCAGGACTCCATGAATGTGCCATTGTCTACTTCTGGCCAGTATTCAGTAGCAACAGATCGCGAGGGCATTTGCAGCAGCTTTCTCTTTTAGTTTGCTTTGTTTTATTTTCCTCACGTTTTCGATTTACTGTTTCTGGTTTGGCATTTTTATGGACTATGTTATGTTTGCATGGTTTTTCTGATTTATGAATGAATATCTTTGCTCCGCCCACTATTATAAAAATGAATTTTTACAACAGTTAAAAATAACTTTTTACAATTGTTAAAACTGATTTTTTTACGGCAGTTAAATAAGTGGTGTTGTTATAGAGGATGTAGAAAGTCTAACTTTGACATCGGTTATATAACCGGCTAACCATAACCATAACTGCTAAAAATATTCTAGCGCAGAAGAAAAAACAGGGAGAGATGAGGGCCGATTTTGGTCCAGTGAAATAGGGAAACCTGATGGGAAGTGATAGAATGGAAGTATTAAAAACACTAGATATGTGCATTTTCTATTTTTTTAAAAAACATTTTTCTAATTATCCAACTTATTTCTTTTTACACTAATCGATCGAGCGTGCTTGATACACCAGCTACTAATTTTGGCGATGCTATGAAGTATGAACATTAATTTGTTCGTGCTATTGATTACGGTCAAAATATGCATGGAAGATTTCTCCTTTCTTTTTGAGGTCGAGAGATTGGAACCAACTATGTTCTGTGCACTTGCTTGTCTTGGATATGCAATTTCTTGGATCCTAGTTTAGTTACTGCAATGAGCGACTTATTTCACAGGCTTCACTTTTGTGATCATATGACATGTGCCACAAGAAATTGTTTTTTTAATTTCAGTTGTCGTTGCATTTTGCATATAAACTTGGACGATCTTCTCTCTCAGTTCATAAATGGGTTCATTTCCGTTTCACTCTTTCAACTCCCGTCTCTTTTTCTGTCTGGAAATTGATAAAAGGGTTTTTTTTTCCCCCTCCTTTTCTTTTAGTTTTCTTAATTATATTTTTATGTTTAATATAATTTCTGTCTCTTAATTTAAAAAAAAAGCACATTTAAGCAATCAAATTATTACAATAACGCCCAGTGCATCAATCATTAGTTTTCAAAAATCAAGCCTCAATCCTTAACTGATGTATTGACTATTAACTCTTAATTAATTAGTGTGATACTGTGTATTATTATATGTGGTAAGTAGATCACATAAGTTAACTAGTTTGCTAGAGCCTCGATTTGCAATCTTTTTTTTTTTTTTAAGACCAACTTACAATCCTTTACTAGTTTTCAAAGTCATCGTCATCCATGCCAAGTCATAATGACAGAAAATGTTGAATTGTTAGCTATTAGATTTATAAGTAAGTTACGATATCGTGCGCTAGAGTAGGTAACTATCAAGGTCAGTATATACATTGAGACACTCTCATTATCATTCCATCTCTGACTCATGATTCATAAGCACTCTCTTTTTGTTTGTTATTATATATTTTGTATTGCATTAAGAAGATTCCAACATTTGATATCTGCTCACATCTGGTTTTATCCTCACTTTATTAGCTCTAAATAGTGAATAGCTATATTCTACATATTTTGTCAAAATACCTGACGCGTATTAAAAAAGAGTATTAGTTAAAAATGTTCATCACAGCGACTCGCGATAAAAGATACTGTTCTTAATTGTGTAGTGGGAGTGATATTTGCCATTTTCTGTCTCACTTTGAACCAATGATAATTATGCCTTAAAATAACGTGATGGACTGGTTTAATTTTGATGAGAAAAATGGACCGCGAGATAAAAGACTGGGCTAACCAATGGGCCAGCTATAAGTGGGCTCTGAAGTAAGATTAGAAGTCTCTCATTTTCCCCTGCTCTCTTTTGCCCTTTACGACATTACTGTTCTAATTTTAATTTTTATATAAATAAAATATTATAGCTTTAAATTGTTTATATCATATTTTAATAGTTTAAATTTATTTATATATTTTTATTTAAAATTATAATAATAATGTTATCAAATATTAAATCAAAACAATTGAAAAGCTTTGACTCAACAATGATAAAGAGAAAAGTAAAGAAATGAAAAGTGAAGAAAAATGAGAGGCCCCTAGGAGGAGTAAGGGTGAAGTATAAATGGGTTTGAAGTTAATTTCTGAAAATTTTCTCATTTTTTCAATTTTTAGAAATTATTTTAAAATTAATTTTAAAAATTATTTTTTGAAAACAACAAAAATATTTTATTGGTTATGTTAATTTGAAAAAGGTACATAGTTAAAAAATAGCTGATAGTGGTAGTTGCTTCTAATTAATGATAATGACCTGCAATACTGGTTGGCTGTAGCTAGAGATAATTTATAATAGTCAAATATAATATACTTAAAATTAAAATACTTTTAAAAATATTTAAATTCAAAATACTTACCCAAATATTTTTTTTTATTTTTAGAAACATGAAATAGTTTTTAAGAACATAAATCAAACATGTCCTTTGTAGTCTTTGTTCTGTGTAATAGTTTCTGTTTCCACAGGGCACGGCGCCGTACAAGTCTCTTTGAAATTAGGAAGCAGGTTCCTTAAAGTTATAATGTCTTAACTTATGAATTAAAGTTATATGAAGTTTGTCTGGAGTTGCAAGTTTCAGTGTATAGTTGATTCAGTTTGCATTATATATAAGCTTTACAAGTAAGCCTACTTCACAATTTTATTCGATTCCGATCCCGCGAATAAAATATTGGTTGTCTTTAGTGAGGTATGAATGTATCTCACCGACTTGATATTATATTCAATGGAACTTTGACACAAGGTGGAGATGGAGGATTAAGGAGGGGCCTTAATTTTTTAATCTTTTTTAGTAAAGTACATGGGTTATACATTTTTGACCTTTTAAGTTAGTAAATTATAGAAGCATTAAAATATTAGATAGAATTATCATTTTTATTTTAAATGCAGTCATTTACGCATGTAGATTACAACTATTTTAATAATTTAAAAATTATCATAAGATTTACTTATTTTCAGTAAGACAATACTACACATGCTCCCAAAACATTGATGTTATTTAATTTTGCTTTCATTATATATTTAATGAAAGAAACTATAAAAATTATTACTAACAAACGTTGTCAAACATTATAATAAAAACCCTAAAATATATTGAATGCTATGTGCTCAATATTTATTATACAATCATTTATCTAAGAGTTAAGAAGTTATGGTTAAAATGTTCTTCTAGAAAAAAAATACTCTCTTATAATAACCAAGCTATTAAAATTTATGATATAAATAATTTTACTCTAATATAATTGAAATTCAATCTTATTGACATGGAGATTTTGTGACAATTGTGTATCATTATCATGTTGATATGTTTATTTGTTATGATTATCAGTTAAAAAATTAAATAGTAAATTTATTTAACAATTAATAGAGCTCCATAGATTGGACATAATTTTATATCCTAATGATGCATTTATGTCATTCAATGTTCATAGGGAAGATGTAATTTTCATCAATTTAATGATAAATTTTATTGAAAAGAAAATTGCTAAAAATTTTATCATAAACGTGATAATTAATTTTTATGTTATGAAAAATCGATAAGCAAAATTTAAAAGATAAATATATATTTTTATTTTTATTATATATTCGTGTAGTTGAATATAAATATAGACATTAAAATATTTATATATGTCATGTCAGTGATATATATATATATATATATATAGATAGGTTTATTTTTTTTAATTATCATATATGTTTTATCATCTTGACTCTCTTAATAATAAAAATTTCTAGTTTCACCCCAGCTTTGACTGACATAATCCGATGCTTCTCATTAATTATTTACTAATCTATTTATTAAATTATATTAAATATAAAAAAAAGTCGCAGTAATAGTCCCCCCGACACTCAGTATGTCTATTTGAGCTGAGTTAGGATTCTCCTCCTGCATTCTCTAGCACCCTTAAATCTCCACTCCCATGGTTTAGATTTAATATATTATAAAATTATCATTATACTATTAAATAATAAATAAAAAATTTCAAAATATTTTATAAAAGAAATAATCATGGGTTGGTAATTGGCATGCACTACTTTTAACATATACGTTAAAATATTTAACAAGCTGCATTTTCAGGGAAGTACGTACGAAACTTGATGGCAAATCGAGTGTTTGGGTCCCTATTTTTATTTTTTTTACAGTGGAGCAAGGCCTTATATTTTCCCCCCTCAGTCTATTAAAATTAATAAGCAGTGGAAGTTATTGAGTTTAGAAAGGTTCATGGCTCATCATGAGGTTGTTCTTGATCTGTATCGTGAACTTCTTCTGATGACCGGCCTCGTGTTGTATCATGATTATCCAGCAGTTTCAATAATAGATACTTGTAGCATAAGAGGGCCAGTGCGAGCACAAGTAGCGAAGACACATTGATTATGAACCATTTGTTGGGAGAAACGAGAACCAACAAGAGTAGCTCACACGCTATGGTCCCAGAAATATGGCACACCACAACCCTCAGATGGAGCAGTGAGTCGTCGTTATTCATTTGATCCGGTCGAAAAGTTAAGAGTGTAATGACGTACACAAATTTTGATATGAGAAAAAGCACAGTGATAACTAGGTGTTCCTTAAAGGGGTCGCTGTTGGATCCTTGATACTTGATTTCAATCATAGCTAGTAGCAGTAGAGTGAAGTAGGCATAAATAGTGTGAAATATTGATGCAAAATCCGAAGCCCTTCAACGAATTGAAAAGGGTCAGTCAAAGAATAGTGCGAAGCAATTAAAAAGAAAAAAGAAGCAGCAGAGTGATGAAGAAGCTTTTTCTCAATTCTCACCTTGGCGGCGATGCATCATGAGTTGGTAGAGTATTGGGATGAAGAAAGAATAGGCGACGGAAAAACGTGCAGATCATGGGAATGCTGATCATGATGCAAAATATAAAGAAACTCAACTCCTCAGGTGATGGAACTGCGATTGTGAGAGAATGATATTGAGAAGATCAGTAGAGAGGATATATATACATATATATATAGTTAAACAGAAAGCTAGGGATGACAAATTTGGACTTTGGCACTTATAATCAAAATGGCCAATAAACTGAGAGGGATGACGAGGCCCACCACACACGCATGCTATAAGAACACGATGGATTTTGGTAGTTTAATTTGGTTAATAGGATGTAATTAATGACCAGCGTAAATGGGGTGAAAAGGATCAATATAAAGAAATTGTAGAAATCTTTCTTCATGAAAAAATTGGAGGGATCAGAACTCAAAAGTATATATGGACATTCATATACAGACAACTGAAAGGTAGGAAAAGTAAGCACTTGATTGAGTAAAAGTTAATTGCTGTCATGCACGTGTGGCAATTGGAAGGTCACCCTTAATCACATTGAATGCAATCTTGACTGTCCTCAAGTATTTGGGGAACGAGACACAGACAGCAACCTTGGCCTCATCTTCATCTCACAAAATGTACTCTGTTTCCTTTAGCCACACACACGCACCCTACTCATCTCCAGAACACAAGAAAGAAAGAAACAAAGGCTCTGTTTGGCAATCTGTTTTAAAAACAGTTTTTTGTTTTTCAGGATAAAAAAAAATTATTTGATAAGTTGTATTCAAAAAGTGTTTTAGAAAATAAAAAATAAAATAAAAATAAAAATAACTTTCAAATGTCCTGGGATTATTGTTCTGGAGAATAAAAAAATAAAAAACCCATTTTTTAAAAAATATGTTTTACAAAATATCAATTTAAAAATAATAAAATAAAAATAATTTCAAATAACTTCAAGTTTATTCCTATTCTCCGTTTTTTCAAGCTCGGTGCCACATTCGCGTTGCTACGGGTCCGTGGAGAAGAAGTATCAAGCATTCATACATTACATGCTATTAACATATTTATAGATTATAGATTTATAGAAACTGGCACAAGGTTATAAGCTATTACCGGTAAGGTTAAGGTGATTTGCCATTAACTTGTTGAGCAATTCACTTCCAAGTTATAATAATATTTTCACAAGAAAATATAATAATATTCGTATTAAACAATAATTTTTGAAAAATTAATTATTTCACTCCTATAATTTTAACTTAGTTGTAATTTAATTTTTAAATTTTTATTCATTATAACTCAATTCTTATAATATCGAGTGCGCTGTAACCCATTTCCTAAATTGTTACTTGATTTTTATAATTTTAATTCAGTTAAAACTTGATCCTTGAACTTTCACTCCTTACAATTCAATTCATATAATTTTAACTATTTAAAATATTGGTCTTTATATATTGAAAATAAAATTTTAAAAATTTAAAATTATGTTGTCATTTAGGGATTAATATTTTAAATTACTAAAACTTTTAATGTGATAAAGATTAATATTTTAAATAATGTTAATCTTTTTAATTTTATTTTTTAAAATATAGAAATTAATATTTTAAATGATTAAAATTATTAGAATTATGTTATAGTAAATTAAAATTTAAAAAATGAGTTACAATTAAATTAAAACTTTAAAAATTAAATTGTAATGAGTCAAATTTTAAAAATTGAGTTATAACTAAATTAAAATTATGAGATTAAATAATTAATTTTTTCATAATTTTTTGTTATCCTAGTGAAACACAATATCAATACCCAAATTTAAGAAAAGTAGATCCCCCCCCCCCCACCAAATTTTCAGGCTCCATTCACGAAGAGATAGCCAAAGCAAAAGCAATCCACGGATTACCCCTCGGCTAAAAGCGAATCTCCACCGTGGAAACTCATCTATCGACGTTCTACAATAATCCATGTTGAGACGCACGGATCGTGAATTTGAGCCCTCGATCAATCATAAATCCAACGGTTCTGATCAACACTCGAACCCTCGTAAGCTTTAAATCCTGACCTTCCCGCTTCGATATATACCCCAAAGGGCGAGTATTTTCACAATTCGTACTCTTCACACGGAAACGTTTGCAAACCCTAAATTCTCAAACCGATCTTTCTACTTTCTTCGATTCTTAGAGAAATTTTCCTGCGAAAATGTCTGGTCGTGGAAAAGGAGGCAAGGGTCTGGGCAAGGGAGGAGCAAAGAGGCATCGTAAAGTCCTCCGCGATAACATCCAGGGCATCACAAAGCCTGCTATTCGGAGATTGGCCAGAAGAGGAGGCGTCAAGAGAATCAGTGGCTTGATCTACGAGGAGACGAGAGGCGTGCTCAAGATTTTCCTGGAAAATGTGATTCGTGATGCTGTGACTTACACTGAGCACGCCAGGAGGAAGACCGTTACTGCCATGGATGTGGTTTATGCGCTCAAGAGGCAGGGAAGGACGCTCTATGGATTTGGTGGTTGAAGTTGTTGGTCTGCGAATAGGTACAAACAGAAGAAATTTGTGTCTTGAAAGAGGTCTATATAACAATTATGTACTGGGGATGCTCTATTTGGAAATTAGAAATGCCAGTGTGTTTAAATTTCTTCTGTTATTTGGTGTTGTTAATACTGTGTCCTCGAATCAGAGGGATTAATGCATTGCTGGATCCTCATGTTATAACTGCTTGATTCACTTTTAATTAGTAGATGATTTTGTCCCTGGAATTGCGATTCCGTGCTACGTAATCTTGATGTCCTCCGAAAAGGATTTCTGGTTTTAGTGTTCTGCCTCTTGGTCTCGGGTTGGTTGATTCTCAGGATTTGCTTTGAAGTGGGTTTTATTGTGAAATTTTCTCCTCTTTACGAACAAGTTTATGATTGTCGTTTTTTTTTTTTAAAGTATAAACCAGATGGGGTGGCTATAATTTTCACTGGGTGTATTTTTACCAAACAAAAAGGATGTTTGAACTTTCAAGGGAATATTTCCAATGTTGGAAACATTTATTAGACGGAAGCGGAAGATGATTTCAATAGCTTTCTTGACTTCTAGAAGCTCGGCCATGGAGCTATCTTACAGTGGTTTGTTCCCCCTTTTGCATCCAACCCCTTAAAAATCTCTGCGCTGGAGCCATCGTTGCTGAAGGCGCCAACCCATCACTATTGCTCTATGTTGTTATTGTTGATTATATCTTGAGCTGTGGATGGTTTTTTCGTAAGTTGGCATTTTCTAAAGAAGGAAATAGAGACAGGGCGCCTTGAATGAGGTCCTGGAAAAAGCTCGCCTGTGCAGACATTGCCGAATCAAGCTTTGTATGGTTGACCATAGGAGCGTGTTGTTCACTCCTATTATAACGACGACAATGGCAGCAATTCTTATCTTATCAGCGAGATCGGCTACAGCAGGACATCTCCCTAAAGTAACGACTAAATAAATTTGACTGAAGTGTCTAAACCAGCTCAACTGCCGGCGAACAATTATAACTTATTAAGTAGCCTCTCAATAATTGGTTTAAAAAAAGTAGCCTGTCAATAACAGGCCCAAAAAAAAAAATCTGAAAATAGTTGCTCGACGAAACAAAACGTGTTGCTCCATACATGTTGACCATCATTGAGGACAAGTGACATGCTGTCACTTGAATGTTTGTGCACGTGGAAACCAATCTAGCTCCAGCCTGCCATTTTCCATGTTCTTGTCATCTGCTTCGTTGACCGTTACAATTTTAAAAAAGGACATTTTGTTTTAAGGGCTCTGGGTTTCTGCCTTCTGGAAGGTCTAGCGTATATATAGGAAAGAACCCAAGCAAAGCTGAATTTCAACATGCAAACAGATTTTTTGGGCAAATTAAGTAGAATGTTATAAGTAGAATTTTTTTTTCCAAATGTTATACTTTTGAAATTATTTATCAGAATATTATAATATAAAAAATTGACTTTTGACATATCGAGTATATTAACATAAAAAATGCTTTTGTAAAACTAAATTTTTATTTTTTGTTCTTTAATATTTGTTAAAGTTTGTTTTGTGATCGACCTGTACATGACCTACAAGTCCTTTACAATTTTTTTGTAATTGCTTCCTCCCCCTCCCTGTTTCCTCTAACTCCATAAAATTATTTATGTAATTATGATTATAATTATACTATATAAATACTTTTATAATTATTTGTTAAATCATATATCAAATATAATTTTGTTAACAAAATCAATATAGAAATATACAATTAAATGATAATTTTTTCATGCAAATTCATTTACTGTAAATGCATAAAAAAGTAAAAAATTCTTTCCTAACTAGAATAATTTTTTGCAACATAATAATCGATAAAATTGTAAATGTTAAAAAATTGCATAATAAAAATAAAATAAAAATTTATAAACAAAATATGTCTCAACTTAACTTGCTAAGTTATTAATAATCCATAACTCAATAAATTGTGGTCTTATATCTCACTACTTATGTGAGAAGTTTAGTAGTGGGCGATTTTTATAAATACTCTTTAAATTTAAAGGTATGTCTGACTTTTGACGAATCCTTGAGAACTCATTTAAATTTTTTCTACTAAAAATATCAATTTTGTTAATAATTTTTTATTATATCATTTAATTATAATTTGAGAAATCACATAATTGTATATTTTTATTTTGATAAGGGGAAACAAGAATTGATTTTAGTGTTTGATGAGATTTGAACCTTCCAAATTTAAAAGTCTTATTTTTTATTAAAATAAAAATTATAAATTTTTAATAAATCTACTTTATCATTAATTTAGATAATGTAAACTTAATTCGAATGGTCCATGTAAATATTAAAATTTTTTAAAATTTTTATAAATTAATTAATTATATATACCTTGGACAGTATAGATTTACAATTAATTTTTTAAAAATTTTTATAATTTTTTACCTTGATAAATATTGCATTAAAAGTAAAGATTTTTAAAAGTAGGGGTGATCAAAACTAGTTTCTGAAAGGTGGGAAGCAATTGCAGAAGATTTGGAAAGGATTTATAAGATAAGTTTATAAGGGTTTATAAGTTTGTCATAAAATAAATTTTAACAAATATTAAAAAAATCAAATAAAAACTCTTCATAGAAGTCATTTTTCACATCGGTGTATTTGACATGTCAACAGCTAATTTTTTATATTATAGTATCTTAGTATATATAGGCCGCCTTTTTATTATTATTATTATTCTTATGGATTTATACTATGTTGCTCGTTTGCAAGGGCCGTTCCCTCGAAGTGACATGACTTTTTCAACCTCAAATGAAATAGTCGCGTTACTCCAATCTATACATAGTAACAAACCAAACTTCAATCTGATTTTCAAACTCTTGTTATGTGGAAAAGTTTAATACCGTAGCGAAATTTTATTTTAAAGTATGCAAGTACTTTTTTTTTTTTTTGCCTTGAAACTATTTTCACTATTTTTTTAGCCAAAAAACTATTTTCACTATTAATATGCTGTTTTAAAATTTTTCATTTTTTTATTATCAACATTTAACAATTTTTCAATTTTGTATTGTGGTTAAAGTGTAACAATATTATAATACTAACATAAACTAGACAAAGTTTAAATATTAAAACGATCGCTTTAAAAAAAATATAAAACGGTCAATTAATGGAAAAAACATGTGCTTTAATGGAAGAATCGAAAAAGTCAACTTCCTTTCTCAATGCGTGACCGATAAACCGCGTGGTTGGGTCATTTGCTTGGTATGTGGTACAGATAAGAGACGTTGACCCGGTTTAAAAACAAAAATCTAATTAAAAACTTAAAAAATATAGGTTTAATCATTGGAATTCATTTAATTAATTTTAAACATACGAAATAGTGCATTAAAAAAATTAATGTTTTTTTGTTTTGCCAAATATAATTAATGAGTTTTTTAATCAAAATACTCTTAATAAATAAACCACTTAACTGACTTTTAAGGTGAAAAAATGATATTAGTTTAAAAATAATTAATTAAATTTATTATTGGTGTAATTATGCTAAAAGTATCTTATACTCCTTTCCATCCAAAATATAAGTAGTTTTTGACAAAAATTGACATACAAATAAAGTTATCATTTCCACAAAAATATATTTTATTTTTTATTTTTATCCCTAATCCCAGCTGCTAATGCACTCTATGATAAATTAAGAAATATATTTAAACAAATACCTAGATTAATAAATATAAGAGGTAAAGTGAGAATTTTTTTTTCTCAAGTACCATATTGTTTACATTTTTAATTGAAATATAATTGAGAAAAATGCTAATATTTTAGGCCGCAAGGGATATTTTTCAATGGAGGGAGCAATAGGTAAGGACTAAATTTGTTCTAAAGTTGATTTAAAATTATATTAAAAATCTTGACTAAAATCTCATATCACTGTGTTGCCTTATTTGACTTTGGCTTCTGATGGACATTGGACAATTTGCCCTTACTGGTAAGCACTTCAAGTTTAAACCGTAAAAAGAGAAATGTTACTATCAACTTCAAAAACTACTGAGTCAACCAATTGGACTAGGACAAAATTTGTTGGAGAATTGGTCTCAGAAATAAAATAAAAGGGATTAAGAATCCTCAGACCGTCTTCCTTTTAAATTTTGGTAATCGGGAATGATCTGGGTTAGCATTAATCTCTGCAGATGAAGAACACTCCAGAACGCCATTTTGTCCTTTCAAGTCAAAGTAATCAGAATGGAGGCAGTGATACAAACAAGCATAATCAAAAGTCTCGTCCTTCCCTTAAGTCTTTCAAATCTCTTGCCAAGAAATTCGCACTTGTTTTTGCGATCTTTCGCTCTGGCAAGGGAAAACCATCTGCAGAAGTTGCCGGAAGCAGTGATGTTAAAAGGAATAGAAGTAAATCCAGATGGGTATCATCATGTAAGTCTTGGTCTTTAATTTGATGAGGAATTTGATATAATTTTCCGGTTTTACCCGCATCCTCATTTTCTTTAACAGTCTGAATTCATTGTGCTTGCCAAAATGTCAACCCTTAAAATTAGATTGTGAATGCCATATTTTCCAAAACTGAGACATAATTGTAATCTTTGCAGTTTCAACTGATGTATCGTCTGAGAGTAACAAGAATTCATGGAAGTTTTCTCACTCCTACGCATCTTCTAGCGTCACAAGTGGACAACTTGGAATGGGCAACTTCTCGTTCGAAGAGCTTTACAATGCAACAAGAAAATTTTCTGCAGATAATATAATAGGGGAAGGTGGGTTTGGAACTGTGTATAAGGGGAAGCTCAGTGATGGGTCTATTGTTGCTATAAAGCGCTCCAAGAAGGTATGGCAATGGCTTGATGATATGTTTTGAACATTGCCCATCTCCAAGAAAAGCAGATTTTTCAGGTTTTTGCTACCAATGTGTCTGATATAGTGAAGTTTGTTGGCAGACTACGCATGACAAGAACTTAGCGGAGTTCAAGAATGAAATAAATACTCTGTCAAAAATTGAGCATCTGAATCTTGTGAGGTTATATGGATATTTGGAGCATGAAAATGAAAAGATGGTTGTTGTTGAATATGTTGGCAATGGGACACTTAGAGAACATCTGAATGGTAAGTTCAGGGAATAATCAATCTTTTACTGTTGCATATGAAAAAGATAACCCAGTCAGAATTGGCATATTGTAGAAGGCAATGGTTCGTGTCTTAGCTCGTTGTTCATCTCCTCAACTTTTCGAATGTGCTTTATAAAAATTATAAAATTATAAAAGTTCTTTGTTAAGTTTCTGCAAACTGTATATTGTTTTTAAGAACAAGATGAGAACTTTATAATCAATTGCTATAAATGCAGGTACAAGAGGAAATGGACTGGAAATTGGTGACCGTCTAGACATTGCAATTGATGTTGCTCATGCAATAACTTACCTTCATATGTACACAGGTGTGTCCATTTAATCAAAACAAGTCAGTGCTTCTTGTTGAAATCATATGAGAGGCTTAATTTGTGTTGTATATTTGACAGATCATCCAATAATCCATAGAGACATCAAATCATCCAACATCTTACTCACAGAAAAATTGAGGGCTAAAGTTGCAGACTTTGGATTTGCTCGTTTGGCTTCAGATGATCCTGCAGCAACTCATATCTCAACTCAAATAAAAGGAACAGCTGGTTACTTGGACCCTGAGTACCTTCGAACATATCAACTCACTAAGAAGAGTGATGTTTATTCGTTTGGCGTATTGCTCGTTGAAATGATGACCGGGAGACATCCCTTAGAACCAAAGAGACCTCTCAGTGAGAGAGTGACCATCAGATGGGTAAGCATGTTAAAAATTCCTAAAAGTATTACATGAGAACTAGGAATAGTACTTTTGCTTGATGAGCACATTACTTGAGAATAGAATCTGACTGTTTCAACTGTATATCAAAGTTATCTGGTAGATTAAAGATATTTAAGAATGGAGAAAGTGAATTTTGTTCAGTGTTTATTCTGGACACAAGCATTTTAAGTAGCTAATTATTCTGATGAGAGGCTCCTCTAGGCTTTAAATTTTAATGTCTACTAAGGAGACTAAGATGATCATTACTTATTCCCCTCAAAAAAGTTTCCTTCATTTACATTTGCTTGAGAGTTGAAGTCACAAATTCACTTCCACTGGTTTATTGAGTCGTTAGCCAAAAAAAAAAAAAAAAAACAGTTCACTTGGTTCCAGTATTAAGAAGATGCCACAGGCCACAGGGCAAAAATGTGCTAGAATCTGCCTGATTGAAACTTGATGGCATTGCCGCGGAGTTAGTTTTTAGGCCATCAAATTCTGAAAATCTACAGCATGAGTGTAATGTTTTAGCATTCTAGCATTCTAATTTTTTATTGTCTATCTCGCAGTAAAGTGCTCGGATTATTCTACCTAGGCCCTGGTCCTACGTAAAACATTCATTACATCGAACCATTCTGTGTAATACCGAGGAAATATCATATTTAACGATTAAAATCAAAGAATGGACATAGTGCGGATAGTAAATGATCAAATTCTGTAAAAGATGGAAATGCAGAAGAAAACATTAAGAATTCTTAGTTACTTCTCTAAGTTTCACATCATAGAGTTCTTAAAACCTGCACAAATGTGCTACTTGGGGCTGATTCAGGTAGTAAGAATGTAGCCTAAAAAGACCTACACAAATGTCCAATGGCTATGTTTTCTGTTTTCATTAAAATAACTCAGCCAATGATTATGCACTTTGAAGGCCATTAAATTGATTGGACGGAAAAATATGCAATCTGTTTGAATACAGGCAATGCAGATGTTGAAACAAGGAGATGCTGTTATTGCCATGGACCCCAGGCTGTGGAGAAGTCCAGCTTCAACCACGGCAATGGAGAAGGTTATGAAGCTTGCCTTCCAATGTCTTGCACCGTTGAGGCAGTCGCGACCTTCCATGAAAACTTGTGCGGAGATTCTATGGGGAATCCGAAAAGAGTTGAGAGATCAAGCTTTGGCTAATGTTCCTCCTCTTGCTTCTCATCATTCTGCAGATTTCACTAAAGCTGACGATAGGAAGAATAAGTTTGTATCGCTTGAAGTTGAGGATGATGACAATTATAAGTTTGTCTCTGCCTAATCATATTAATTAGTTCTTGAGAGAATTTTTTCATTGATTGTTCAAATAGGCTCATTCATAGTAAATGTGCTGCTGTTTCATATCAGTCTATTGTTTTCAAGAGGTTTTCTCCTCTTCCATTCTGGAAGTTCTCAAGTTATCAGAATGATGATGAGGAGGGAAATGAAATATTGAAAATTCAAGTCACATCAATTATGAATACAAATTTTATTTACATTTTTTAGTAGAATCTATAACATGAATTTGACCCTATAAACCTCAAGATTTTGTATTTAGATTGTAATGATGTGTTGAGAGATTTAATTACTTTTTTGTGCAATAATCTCCCAAGAGTAAAGATGGGATCAAATATTAGCAAAGCAGAGGACATTAATTAAGGAAAAAAAAATAACATTTTAGATGACAAAATTGAAAAGTGATATATTAAAGATAATGAGAACATCTTATGATAAGGAAAAGGAGTAATATGTGCATTCTAAAAAAGAAAATTCCAATGCCTTCAATTTTTTCTCAAATTTGAAATTAAATAATGTTACACCAACTTTGTCAATAAGAATTATGAATCAAAAATAGGATAAAAATAAAATAAAACTAATAAAAATAACTATAAAAGTGCACTAAACATTATTAACATAAAACATAAATTTTATAAAAAGTCTCCCTCTTTAACAAACCATAAATAAATAGCGCAATTTACGGAAAAACCTACCTAATTATAAAAAATTAAAGATAGAATCACTCTCTCAATCTTAAACATTTGAGTAACTTTACAATGCTTAGTTGACTAATTGGCATTTTACGAGGTGGAATAATGGAAATCTTTATATACTACAGCAACATAAAGATATAAAGATTAAAGTTTTACCCAAAAAAAACTAAAAAGATTAAAGATATGATTTTTTTGCTAAAATGTATTGTTAGTTGTCTAACTTTGTATAAAATTTTTGTTTGATTTCTTAATTTTATAAAGTATTATTTTCAATCTTTTAGCCTTAAAATTTTTATTTTTGAATGATTTTCTTTTGAATCAGTTATTGTTATTTTAAAAAACTAGCTTTTACTATCAAAAATATTGCATTTTATTTTTTTTTATTGATACTACTCATATATTGGTCGAGATATAATTATTTTATCATGTAATAGAATACATTCTTAATAAAAATAATTTTCATTTTATTGATTTGCAACCTCCATTAAAAAAAAAAAAATTAATCCATCAGTACAACATCATGAAATCAAACATAAAAGGAAGACAACAAAATAGATACATAACATCTCATTAGCTCACCTGCCGAAAGATTTATCTCCAAGCAACATTTGTAGTTATTCTTTTACCAATATTTTGACAATCATGCAACAAAAATTTGTAACTTTTCATGGCACTTACCCTTGAAAATACCACATACCATGCGTTTACTTCTCAGTGTGATGTACTAGAATATTATAAATAAATGTTGATCAAATATAGTGATTAATTCTTATAACAATATATTGATTGTAGGATTTTCTTGTTTAGTCATCTTTCATACAAAGAAATTAAAACTATTAGACTTCTATTTATGATATACATTCTACACTTTTTTTATTTTAAATATAATGCCTTCATTTTATAATTTAAGAACTTTTTTCATTTGTTATATTCATGCAAGTATTGTTATTTTGAATTTAGCTAGCTTTTACTTTCCTTTCCTTTGCATGTAAGTTCAAGGACCTCCTTAAAAGTTAAGAAAAAACTGTAAAGATTTCCATATTAGTTTTACTTTTTATTTTCAACCATTCATTTTTTATTTTTGAAAAATTGTATAATTTCGGCCATTCATTTTTTTTTTTACTTAGGGAGGCACTAACAACCTATTTAAAAACAAAAGACATTAAAATTGTATGGATTTTCAAAACAAACCTCAGGACATAAAAGAATGGGGTTCTTGCAATCTGGCCATAAATGAAGAGTACATTAAAAAATGAGTACAGTTGGAAGTTAATGAACATACACTATATAAGGTATTGACATCTAAATCATGCGATTCGGAAAGAAAAGTAGACAAAAGAAGCAAGTGAAGAAATAGCAAGAATGCATAAAATAGAAATTTAAAGTAATCTCATAAAATTGAAGAACCCAAAAGTCGAAATCACTTTGGTAGCTTTAAAGTCACTAGATGTTGGTCAAAATACACGGAGAATGGAGGGCGTGACAACTTCTCCATCTGACCTGAACGAAGGAAGCGATGAATGCTAATGAAAGACGAAAATAGCAACACGAGCAAATCTAATGACACTCTAAGCTTGAACCCGACAACCAAATCTAAAAGGGATGTTGTGGAAGGATTTGAGAACTAGTGCTCTTATCTCTGCTTTGAAGCTCGAGACACTGAAGAAGGAGTTACAAGAGGGAGAAAAGGGTTGAGTGTTAAAAAAGACAAAAGGAATGGAGGGGATGACAAAAAAAAAAAATGAAGCATGCAAAGGCTAGTAGCAGAATGATCACCTTTTTTTCTTTTTAATATGAGACAAGGCAGGAGTTTTTAAATTTAAAAGGTGAAAAAAGAGAGTAAAAGGGGGCTTTTACACATATAACTTATATTATAAGATCAAGTAAAAGAAATAGCTTATCCTTCCTCAAATTTAAAAAATTGTGTTTTTAATATTTAGATTATAATTAATTTATAAAATTGCCCTTTTCTAATATTTGCTTTTTAAATACCATAAGATTTAGAACATAAGATATCTTTAGAACAATAGAGACAAATGTGAGAGAGAAGACGAAACTCGACACGACAAAGACAAATGCGAGATAGCAAAGTAGTGTGAGTGTACCACAGTCACGACGGCGAGAGACAAACATGAGGTGAGATATATCGACAAAATGGAGTGTGCTAGCGAGAAATGGAGCTACAGATTCATGTTTTTTTATTTTACTAGTTTAGATTTGATTCTCTGTAACAAGCTAAGAGTCCAAAATTTTTTATGAACTTAGATTTATTTTGCAAATTTGTGTTTTGTGTTATTAATTTACAATACTACATTATTGATATACGACTGTATATTAATTATAAACAAATTTATGTCTGATTATTTGATTATGTTGATTTAGTGATATACTATTGTATATCATTCATATATAAGTCACATCAGAAAAAGCTTATTGACTTGTCTACCATTGATATATAGTCGTATATCAGTAATGGAGTTTTCTTTTTAATGTCTAATATCCTCTTCATAATATCTAAAAAAAATAGGGAAGGAGAGAGAAAAAAAATTGTGTGATGAAGATGATAATTCAGGCAAATTAAATTAAAAATTTTGATGAAGAAAGACATTGTATGAGAGATGAATATGATGATTCAAGAAAGTCAAATAAAAATCCGATAAAGAAAATATTCAGAGAGGGAGCACACACAATATAATTTTTTATAATAAAATAAAAGATTTAATCAGTTAAAAATTAGCGAAATTAGATATATTCTGTTCTAATAATAAATTTATTATGAGCATAAAAAAAAATATATGTAATTAATTTTATGAATGAGTCATATTTTAAAATATTTAAAAACTTCATTCATAATTTATACGAGTTGCATTTTTAATGACCATTGAGGAAATTTTTTCAAATTTTTTTAGGACAGAAATAATGAAGTAAATAGACTTGATAATGCTAAAAACTAAGGATAGAAGCTCGTGGCCTTACTTTATGTCAAAATGAAGTGTTGTCAACCATTTCAAGTGAAAGACCGAAAATGCCCCATAGCTACTTTGTTATTTTAAAGAAGTGTGAAGGAATCTCATTTTTACCGCTCTTGAAAATGCCAGGAATGCTCTCATTTTATCATTCATAAACTCTACTTTTTTGAATAGTTATCTATTATATGTTGTTTAAACTTAATGCATTAATATTTGAAAAAGTTTTATTAATATTTAAAAGTTTAATATAATATTTTTTAGTTGATGAAACCAACGATAGCAAGATTAAAAGATTGAAAGAATGCCTTATAAAATTAAAAAGTCAAAATTAAACATAATATAAAGTTAAAAGATATGTCATGTTTTGGTTTGCGATGAAGATTGGACAACCCTATCAAGAAAGAAAGAAAGAAAAGGCGAGCTTAGACTCGACCATCATCAGGGAAAAAAAAAATAATCATGGTGAGCATGAAAATAGAGTATGCATGGTTCAATCAAATAAAATTTCCCTTAAAAAAGATTAATATACAATTTAAATTTTGAACTATAAATGTAAAAGTAATTTAAATTTATACTATTAATTGATATATTTTAAACCCAAAATAATTAAAACCAATGCATCTTCACCCCCACTTGTTAATTTGAAGCTAATGGCCATTATTTTTTAAACACATAGTAGATATAGAATGTAGGCTCCATTATATTTAAAAAGTAACAGTTGTTAGCTTCAAATTAATGGGAGTAAGAATGCACCAACTTTATTTATTTATTGTTCAAAATATACCTATTAATAATATAAGGTTTGAATCGTCTCTAGAGCTATAGTTTAACCTTTTAAAAAATATGTTTTCATCATTTTTTCACTCTGTCCTGCAAATTGATAAAGCTTATTCAAAAATAAGATTGTTAAGATAAAAAAAACTTTGAATTTAAAATTTGTTTTATTATTTACAAATAACAAGAAACCTCAACTATTATAAAAAAGAAAAGAAAGAAACCTCAACTACTGTCTAATTTTTTTTCACAAAAAACGAATTTATTTTATCTTTCAAATTTATACTTTGAGGTTTGAATATCATTTGATTTAAAATTAAAATATTTTTATTAAATTAAATTTTTATTTTTATAAAAATATATATTTACAAACATACAGCCGGATGTGCGTAACATGTTCGCGCTTATAAAATAGCATTTACTACCATTTTCAGTACAAAGTAGTATATATATTTAGCTTATCTTCTTGACTAACAATCATTATTACTCCTTTATTAAAAAAACATTTTTATTTTTTAAGAAGTTAGGTATTTAAAAATGTAATGCATTTAAGGTGTAATCATTGTCTATTTTTTAAGAGTACCTTTGTTGAATAAATTATTTTATATTTATTTTAAAATAAAATACTCTATTGAATATGGATAAATAAAAAAATAGGATTAATTTAAAGATAAGTTAATAATTTATTGAGATGAGATTCTATTAAAAATGACTTATATTATTGAACAGAGTAATATAGTGTAAAAATTAGGGGAAATAACAACAAAATCCCACCAAAATATATAAATGACAATCAGGTATTTTAAAAATGTCATAATTTCGCTAAAGTTTTTATATATTTTTTAATATTAATGATTTTAGATTAAATAACTAAATTATCCTTAATTTAGGTAGTTATAATTTTTATTTAAGCAGTCAAAATTTTTATTTATAAATCATAAAAATTGAACAAGATATTATAATTTTTTACATGAACATCTTATTTTTTAATTTAAAAAAATAATTTAATTATCTAACTTAAAATTATTAATGTTAGAAAGATATTTAAAGATTTCAAAAAAATTACAATATTTCAAGAGACTTAATTATTACTTATATATTTTTATAAAATTTTATTATATTTTTTAAATTAAGGTCGGTTTCACCTTTTTTTTTTTTGAGCATATTTAAGCAATCCCTTATTATAAGAAAACGTTTCTTAAATGACAAGTCACATATCTTTAAAGATTAATTTACACCACATTGCTTTCTCAACTTGTAAAATTTATTCAAATTAAGGGTTGATAAGTGATTTAAATCCATTTTCTGAATAAATATTTTAATTACAATCATTTAATTTAATTAATATTTTAAAATTATTAAAATACATTTTAAAAAATTCAAAATGATCCTACAATCAAAATAATTATCTTCTTTAATTTATATTTTTTAAATATTATGTGATAAAATTTTTAGAAACCATTCAATTAAATCAAATTTTTGTTACTTTGCCACATAATCCACTAATTAAATGGATGAGTGGATTTGCGCTATTCACCGAATCCAAATCCATCTAATTTGTTCTGATAAAAATTGTTAAATTGATAATATAAGTTTATAAAATAAATTATGTAAGTACATACTCCCTCCCGTCTATTTATAAGATACATTTGAAAAGTAATTTTTATTTCAAAATATAGAATACTTATAATAATTAAATTATTTTTTTAATTTTATTTTTTTGATTAATGTGAAAGTATTTAATGTAATTATATTATTATTTACAGTTAAAGATGAAAATAAAATTATATTTTATTTTTTATGATATAAAAAATTAATTTTTTTAAAAATGTGTGAAATGTTGAAAGTGTATTGTAATTGAAGTAATAAACTTACTTTCAATTTTTTTTTTTTAAATTCCTCACAAGACGGCGACGTCGCTCCCAAATTTCTTTTTAAATTCGCGCGTAAAGTTCAACCGCCGTCTCAAACTTCGCGTTATTCCCGCTTTCCACTGAATGCTGCCACGTGTTCACCGCCTCGCCGTTGTAAAACTATCTCCTTGTGATCTCAATGTCACATCCAGAAAGGTCCTTAGTCCCACAATTTCATGCGTCTCGTGCTTCAGTCTCACTCCTTATTATTTCTTCCAGGAAAGAACGAAGGATCTTCTCTGATATTTTCTTCCTCTCTTCACAATACTCCAAAACCCTCCCTGTTCCACTTGACGGCTTTCTCTCGAAGTATCTTCTAGAATATCTCTTGATTCTCTTTTAGTGGCCTACCATTTCCTTAAATATCTTCTTCCAAACAAAATTATTATCACTATATCAATCTTAGAATTGCTTGTGCTGGTAACACTCTCGCCTGGGTTGCTGGTTGTGAGAATTTTGATTGACGTTGTATTAGTTGGGTTTTTCCGCATATGCTTAAGAGTTTAGATTAGGTGGCTAATGTAATTTTTGTTGTTGTTGTTGGGCGTGAAAGCTTGATTTTGAGATTGGAAATGGCGGGGAAAGTGGAGGTCAATGGCGGCAGCGCCTCTTCTTCTTCTGTTATTTCTGCCAAACTTCCGGCGGTGGCGAACCCATTGGCTGAAAAGCCTGACGAGATTGCGTCGGACATCAATTACCACGCTCAGTATAGCACTCATTTTACCCCTTTCAACTTTGAACTGGAGCAAGCTTACTATGCCACTGCTGAGAGTGTTCGCGATCGTCTCATTCGAGTACGGTACTGTTTATGGATGTCGTGCTCAATACTCATATCAGATGCGACATCACATCTCATTTCAAATTATATTAGAACGCCATATACTTTGTGGTATAATGTCCTATAGTCTTGTCCATGCTTCTTGTAATGAGGTTCCAATTTTGACTGATGATCCTTGATTTGTTGGCGTTTCACATTGAACAACAAATGCACTTCTCGTTACCCCCGCGGAATATCTAGATTCTTGGTAACTATTGTCCGTCGATTTCCATTGAGACAAGCTTTTGGTGTGTGTAGTGCATAAAATATGTGAACCTTTCTAAATTTGTCCATGTCAATGACATATATAAGCATTTCAACCTTTCAAAATCAATTTTGAAGTTGATATTATCAATGATAAATGATATTTGTAGTCAAGAAGGAAACTCTGTGGGTGTCTTGGTATTTGACTTCGAAGTTATAATAATAAGAGGTAATTTGTTAATCATCCTTTAAACTAGTTTTAGTATCATATCATTCGACTAATGCTGTTTCCACCTATTGATAATTTTTTCAGCAATGGAATGAAACGTTCCTCCATTTTCACGAAGCTGATCCTAAGCAAACATACTACTTATCAATGGAGTATCTTCAAGGTCGAGCTTTGACTAACGCAGTTGGAAACCTGAATATACAAGAAGCATACGCAGATGCTTTGCACAAATTTGGACTCAAACTTGAAGAAATAGCAGAGCAGGTAAAAATTACAATATCTGCCATAACATGATTGTTTCCAAGGCCTTTTTCTTGAAATTAACCCAATCTTGTAATTGTTAGGAAAGCTTTTATGAATAAAATAAGCAAAACGTGATAATTGTAAAAGAAAAATTCATTAGAGTTTTGTTCCAGAAATAATATCAAAGTCTGTAAAAACATGCAAATCTTAAGCAAGAATTACAGATGACTATACTCATAGGTAATGAGCCATCGAATTTATGCCACCTTATTTTGACGTGATGGGTACTTAAGTGGGTGAACTAGCTCGGTTAAATATCCATTGAGAATCCTACACTACTCACTGCAGAATATAAGCATCTCATGCTACTTTATTCTCCATCAATTGGCCTCTTTTGGAGAGCTGACATCTTGGTAGGTACTTTCAGTTAGAACCCTTTGCAGGTAAACCTTTTCAAAATTGTTTTTGATACCAATTTTTAGGTACCCGAGTGGGATGAGAGACCCTCCCTTAAGAGCTAATTACTGAAGTGGAAGAACAAATCCACTTAAGTATCTAGTTGAGTATCCTATACTACCTTAGTCTCCATTGTGGATCAACCCAAATGATTCTACATGATTCATTTGAACTGTATTTCTCACTCTGTTATAAAAGTAACAATGAGGGACATGAATCCAATTTTTCTTGAAAGAACTGCACAGGTATATGAGTAATAAAAGCAAGGGACAAATTCATATCATAAGTATGTTTGATATTTTCAGCATCTTCGTGATAATTCCACTTAAAACTTTGCAGGAGAAAGATGCAGCTTTAGGAAATGGTGGTCTGGGCAGGCTTGCTTCGTGCTTTCTGGATTCCATGGCAACACTGAATTTGCCTGCTTGGGGTTATGGTCTGAGGTATAGATATGGGCTATTTAAGCAGATAATCACGAAGGAAGGCCAGGAAGAACTTGCAGAAGACTGGCTTGAGGTTTGATTTATCTTTCTTCTTTTAAATCCTGGGAAATATATCACATTTTTTTACTATAAGCTGATACTTGAACTCAAATGAAAACTGAGCAGAAGTTTAGCCCCTGGGAAGTTGCAAGGCATGACATTTTGTACCCTGTCAGATTTTTTGGCCATGTTCAGGTTAATCCTAATGGAAGGTAAGTGGAAATCTAGTCCTTAAATTATTTAAGTACTGACTTAATGATGAAAAACTCTATTTTATAGTCTGATTTGATACATAAGTCTATTTCCATAAACTTAATTCAAATGCAATGTCAAAGTTCACCCTATTTATAAAAATTGGTACGAACTTAAAAGATTGGTATGAATGCCAGCCGAAAATGGGTTGGAGGAGAGGTTGTGCAAGCATTGGCGTATGATGTGCCAATTCCAGGATACCAAACCAAGAATACCATCAGTCTTCGCCTTTGGGAAGCAAAAGCTAGTGCTGAGGATTTGAATTTGTTTTTATTTAATGATGGACAGCATGAATCTGCTTCTGTTCTTCACTCACGAGCTCAACAGGTTTGTATTTGGCTTTCTATCACTTTTTAACTAAAGCTGGCTGTTTTGGCAGGGATGATTGATTACCAACCATTCTCTTCTCATCAATCACAAGCAATTAATCTTTCTGCAAAAGACCTTTGTTCCCATTGCAAGGGCATATGCATAAAGAGATAGATCTATCTTTGCCTTAAATTCATTTTCAGAACAAATTCTGGTAAAATTTCTTTTCTACCTCCGGTTTTATATTGAATTTGAAAATGCTAGATTTGTGCGGTTTTGTATCCTGGGGATGCTACAGAAGATGGGAAACTTCTTAGGCTGAAGCAGCAATTCTTTCTCTGCAGTGCATCACTCCAGGTAAGATATATCCTCTGAAGAGCTCCCCATGTCATTGTCATTTTATTTGTATTGTAGTTCTTGTCCTCCCTTCTAGTTTTTGCTTCGTAACTGAGGCTGTCTGAATTCAAAGTTTACATGTCCTTTAAAGTTTGAGATATATTAATCAAATGATCACTATTGGGGGCATCATATAACCACGATTGAGGCCTATCATAATAGCTTGAGTTTTTGAAAGAGGGAGTTGACTTGACATGGTATTAGAGTAGCACCAAGAGGTTCAAGGAGTTCACAGTCCAAGAGGTCCACCCATACCATTTTCTTAATTAGACGTAAATTTTAGCACAAGGTATTGCAAGCTTGTGCTCAGTCCATGCGTCAAGTTCAAAGCGATTTGGTTTAATGGGGTGTGTTAGAGCTGCTTGCATGTCAGCCAATTGCTGCAACTACAGAATTTTCTGCTTGTTGACATGAGTTAAGGAAAACTAGATCTTCTGCTTACCAGTGGTCTTTCAATTAACACCTTAGCTGACAGATCATATTATATGATGACATAAATAATATATTTATTTCTCATTGTTATGCTATTTTGGTACAATGGATATTTAAATGATTCAAGCTATTTGTCTCGTTCTACTCAATTGTCTCTTGTTTGACATGCTGTTTTCATTACTTCCCTCTCTCATCTTGGGTCTATCCCAGGACATAATTTTTCGGTTTAAAGAGAGGAGACAAGGAAAGGAGTCTTGTACGTGGTCTGAGTTTCCTAGCAAGGTTGCTGTGCAACTTAATGATACTCATCCTACCCTTGCAATTCCAGAGCTAATGCGACTACTTATGGATGATGAAGGGCTTGGATGGGATGAAGCATGGGATGTGACAACAAGGTGCGGCGTTTAAAATTTGTTGCATATCATAGGCGTCAGTGATATTCCTTCTTTTATGTCTCTTCAACATCTGTAGGCTAAAATGTGATGCTATATACTAACCAGGACAATTGCTTACACTAACCACACTGTCCTCCCTGAGGCACTAGAAAAATGGTCTCAACCTGTAATGTGGAAACTACTTCCTCGCCATATGGAAATCATAGAAGAAATAGACAAGAGGGTAAGATGCATTGGCTTCTATTTTACTATTTCAAAAATTTCATGAAAGTCTTATTGATATATTTTAATCTATAAATCATAAAATACCTGCAGTTCACTGCATTTGTAAGCTCAACACGGCTGGACCTTGAGAGCAAGCTTCCTTCCATGTGCATTTTGGACAATAATCCCCAGAAGCCAGTAGTTCGGATGGCAAATTTATGTGTGGTTTCGTCACATGCTGTAAGCATTAGACCTGTGTGAATGCATCAAAGTATTCAGCAGCTTATTTTATTGTTAATCTAGTTCTAGTGTTTTTCTAGAGTCACCAAGTGGTTATATGGGAAAAAAATTTAGCTGAGTGGTTTAAAACAACTGTAAACTAATGTCCCATGTGGGTGTTTCTCCAGCAAGCACTTTACCTGAGAGTTATACAATCTTGTGACTAATAGTGGTTGCTATATGGAATGAATACTATAAACTTGGCTAAAGATAAAAATGCTGAATGCCATTCAATGTTTTTCATCCACCGATACAGAAAATCTGTTGTAGCTAAAATATGCATTCCAAAATTGGCTGAATTATTATTATTTTTTTTTTTTTGGTATAAGAGGAGGATTGAACTTGCTATCTTTTACACTTTTCTTTCTAAAATCTTGCTCTGTACATTTTTGCTTGTTGGCTACATTTAAAGTTTGTTGTCTAAAGGTTTTTATCTCTTTCAAGGTGAATGGTGTTGCTGAGTTACACAGTGACATTTTAAAATCAGAATTATTTGCGGATTATGTCTCAATATGGCCGAAGAAGTTCCAAAATAAAACCAATGGCATCACACCTCGAAGATGGCTTCGCTTTTGTAGTCCTGAGCTCAGTAAGATAATCACTAAGTGGTTAAAAAGTGATCAATGGGTCACCAATCTTGATTTACTGGCAGGTCTTCGACAGGTGAGTAATTGGATAATTTTTCTTCCCTTCTAGTTGAGTCCTATAATTGCAACATTCTCATATCAATTCCTGGTGCTTCCTATAGTTTGCTGACAATGAAGAACTGCAAGCTGAATGGCTGTCTGCAAAGAGAGCTAATAAGCAACGCTTGGCACAGTACATTCTTCGGGTGACAGGGGTGAGCATTGATCCGGACAGTCTGTTTGACATACAAGTCAAACGCATCCATGAATACAAGAGACAGCTACTGAATATTCTGGGTGTGATTTATAGATACAAGAAGTTAAAGGTACAAGAAACAGCCTACTATTTGGAGTAAAACTGTGACATATTCATTGCCTGATAATGCATGGCAAGAAATTTTGCTCAGTTGCCAATTTTTCAACAACAGTTACTGTTGTTCATGATGAAAATTAATATAGAACTAGACTCATTTTCCCTTCACCCTACACAAAAATTGAGGTGAATTCCACTGTTCATGACTAATAAATAGCATGGCTTGTTATGGATTTTGTATTTATATTTTTAGTGCCCACCCTATTCAGTTTTATACTTTCATATCTCATGCTAATTATATAGCCCAATACTAGCTTATGTCATGTTCTGCCAGCATTTATATAGAAGATACTGTCTATGATGCCAGTCTTCTAGAAATGCTACAATATACCAGAAATAATTCTTACGACTTAACTGTTATAGGAGATGAGCCCTGAAGAAAGGAAAAAAACAACTCCACGTACTGTGATGATCGGAGGAAAAGCTTTTGCTACGTATACAAATGCTAAAAGAATAGTAAGGCTGGTTAATGATGTTGGTGCTGTAGTCAACACTGATCCTGAGGTCAATAACTACTTGAAGGTAACTTAATTTTTATTTCCCTTGCTATTTTGAAGGTTCGAATTTAGGATACTATATGTCTAGAGTTCATAAATTGCAGTGCCTATCCAATTGTAACGTTTAGAGGACATGAGCCTTTAAATTTGATATTTTCCCAACATTAGTGAAAAACATTAATACTATAGCTACTGGCATATCGTGATTTCTATTATTTTGCACTGGCATAATCTGCAATTAGTTAAGCCCCAATTTTCTGTCATTTTGCCTGTGGAACATTGCATGTATGGGTATTTTGATGGAGTCCCACATTGGGTATCCCCAAGCAATTCTGTTGGTACTTAAATGATATGGTTCTTCCCTCACAAGCCAGTTTTTAAGGGTGGGCTTCCCATTTGCACTTGGGTTTCCATGATATGGTTTGATGACATATTGCAATGCAGTTTTATGTGACAGTCAATGTGTGGGCTGTATTTTGCATAGTTTTGTCTAGTAATTAGGCTAATTTATGACTGCTCTGTTTTTATTGGACAATCATTCTCAGGTTGTGTTCGTCCCAAATTACAATGTGTCTGTGGCAGAGGTGCTGATTCCAGGAAGTGAGCTGTCCCAGCATATCAGCACAGCAGGCATGGAAGCAAGTGGTACAAGCAACATGAAATTTGCATTAAATGGGTGCCTCATCATAGGTACTTTAGATGGAGCTAATGTTGAAATCAGGGAGGAAATTGGCGAGGAGAACTTTTTCCTCTTTGGTGCAACAGCAGAAGATGTCCCTCGTCTCCGAAAGGAAAGAGAGAATGGACTGGTTAGACATAGCATCCCTCTTTAATAATTTTATAATAATCAGTGAAAACAATGATGTAATACTTCTTAATAAATCTGTAACTCTTTTATGTTGTATAACATCTAAAAACCTATCAACGAGTGATCAATATGGATGGACTGGAAGAGACTAGGTTAGTGTTGTGCAAGGCTTTAACCACCTCAGAAGAACTCTCATAAATCTAGTCCTGGATCATAATATCTAACAGATTATTAGGCAATAAAATAACCGGAATAGGTTTCTAGGAAATGATTCATGATGTGAATGTGATGATGTCTCGGTTTCGCTGTTGAAGCAGTAATATAAGACATCAAGCTGCATTGTGAGTGATCTAAAGCCACTAAATCAGATTTGTCTCCACTGTAGTGGATCATCTGACCATGCTTAGTTATGTTTCCAAAAGTTTAGTTTCTCTGGCAAATCCTAACTTTCCCTTGCTGACTACTCTGCTTCTTGTTATTTATAGTTCAAACCAGATCCTCGGTTTGAAGAGGCAAAGAAGTTCATTAGGAGTGGGGTATTTGGAAGCTATGACTATAACCCACTGCTTGAGTCGTTGGAAGGAAATTCTGGTTATGGTCGTGGTGACTATTTTCTTGTCGGCCATGACTTCCCAAGCTACATGGATGCCCAGGCAAAGGTAGATGCTGCTTATCGGTAAGACACCATCTCCATTCTCCTATGTTTTCGCTGTTTTATTCCTTTACCAGTCTGTGGTAAAGATCAAAGATCCTGACTGCAAAGCACAAGTGCATTCAATTGATTTAATGTTTCAGTGCTTGTCAAGAGCAACATAGTGAGCAAGACTTCATTGGTTTCTGGATTTTTGCTTTTGAAATGTTTGAACTCAATTAACTTGAGCATGCATTGAAGCTGGTTGAACAAAGCTGTTATTGTTCAGCCTTCACCTCATTCATGACTAATAAGTTAGGCTCAAACATAGTGAAAGGCAATGTATTATGAAAATGATTTTATGCTCCCATCTGATGTGAGGATTTAATGGTGACAGAGTGTTACACGTTACTGCTATTTACTGCTATTTGAGGGCTTTATTGTCTTTATGTTGATATGTTATTATTCTCTTTATGTGTTGCTGAATCCTACGGCAGTTATTGACAGTGTGGGACCTTACCTTTTAGGGCACGTGTCTAGGTTTAGCGTATATCATGTATCTTGCCTCCTTGTTACGTGCTGTGAATGAAATCAGTCTCTCTTCTCGTCTATATTTCTCTTCTTCTGTCAAGGTATCAGAGTCGTCTCTTCGGCCATGGCTCTGCTAGAGACTCAGTCCTTTATAGAACGTGTTGGAGATCTTGAACACTGCCTTGAGATGCAGTCTTATTTGCTTCAAATCACTCAAGATATTTTAGACCAACACACTAATAGCATATCTGAGATTAAGAATACTCTGTCCCAAATGGCAAACCAGTTTAATGATCTCTCAGGCAAGCTTTCTACGCTTCCTAACTAGTCACACCACTCCCCTATGTTTGAGGTTGGCGAATCTTCTCATCCTCTCCCATGCTACCACAAAATCTCCCACCTCCTTCTATGCATTCACCATGTCCAACGACTATGAACCCACTACCACCTCATACCCTTCCACTGCCTCTGCCGTCATGACCTGTGACACCCTTAGCAGCTATTCCCCCCTTTCTATATTTACGACACCACATCAATTTGGCTCCTTCCATGGCCTTTTACCCTTTCCACAATCAACCTACTCTGCTCCCACTAAGTATAGCCGAGTGGAATTTTCCAAATTCGATGGTGTTGACTTTAGGCGATGGGCTTAGTGTTGCCGGCAATTTTTTGAAGTTGATGGAACCCCACATGAACATCCCATTCATCTCTTAAGCATTCGCCTAGAGAAAAGAGCATTACGGTAGCACCTTGCCTTCATTAAACAGCGTCGTCTCTCCAAACTTTCTTGGGAGGATTAATTTTGAGAAATGGAAGCCAAGTTTGGAGATATAAAGGATGAACACCCAATGATAGCCATTAAAAAACTCCAAATGCACGACTCTATGAAAGATTATGAGGAAAAATTTGATGAATTGTTGACTGAAGTCGATTTGTTAGAGGAAGCCGCCATGAACTGCTATATCAAAGGTCTAAGAATGGATGTCCAGCAAAGTGTTTTTGAGCTTTCAACCAATGACTAGCTGGTGCGATGGAAATGGCTTGGCGTTAGGTTGCAGCTATCTCTGCAATTCACGCGAATGCTCCTCGGAAGACTTTCTCGATGTTCTCATCACTTCCCTCGATTGGGTCTTCTAGGTTTTTACCCACTCCAATTTCTAGTGTCAAGTTTGACCTGATTAACAAGCCTAACTCCTTTATTGACCTAGTAAGAGATAAGCCCAAAACTGCCTCTTCCTCTACTGCAACGAGTTCGGCTTCCTTTAAGCCTTCTAGAACTCTCTCAAACGTGAGATGGACGATCGTCGGCGTAAAGGACTTTGTTATTATTGTATCGATAAATATACCAACATGCACAAATGCTGAGGGTCGCACATCTTTGCTTTGGTCATAGGGGATGATACCGAGATATTCGAAGATGCTTTTGAAGATGTTGAGGCCCTTGAAAATACTGTCATAGTGAACGCCATTGAAGGTAAGGTGGGTACATCCACTTTAAGGCTTCTTGGTTGAATTAAAAATCAACGGGTGGTCATTTCGATTGACACAGGGAGTTCGCATAATGGGACCCAAGTAGTCAAATGACTCAATTTGAAAACTCTAAAAAATGAGGGGGTTCGCATTACAATTGCTGATATTTGAGAGGTCATTGTGACTAAATATTGTGCGAATTTGACTTGGGAAATGGACGCTTCCTTCTTTTCTTCTGATTTTTTAGTCATGAAAATTTGGGCATTTGATATGATTTTGGGTGTACAATGGCTTAAGACATTGGCCGTTTCTTTATGGACATGGTTGAGCATCTATTTGCATTTCATCAGAATGGTCAACTAGTTGAATTAAAAGGGATTAATTCAAGAACACCGAGGACCATCATGCAAATAGCTCCCTCAGACTATGATGAAGTTTTAGCTAATCATCTCTATTTGGTTTATACTCCTCAGCATTTAGAGGTGCAGCTACCACATAACCTAGTTACAAAGTCTCCTCCATTCTTTTGCTGATGTGTTTGTTGAACCTTCTACCTTGCCGGCTTCTCGTTTATTTGACCATTCTATTCCCCTTAAGGTAGATCATCCAGTGAATTGTAAACCTTATTGTTATGGGCCTACTCAAAAATCTGAGATCAAGAAGCAAGTCCAACAGATGCTTGACAATGTAATCACAAAGGAAAGCAATAGTTCTTTTGTGGCTCCTGTGGTTTTGGTGCAAAAGAAAGATGGTATATGGGGATTTTGTGTCGACCGTAGAAGATTAAATGAGGCTACTGTTAAGAACAAGTTTCCAATTCCAGTTATAGAAGTGCTCTTAGATAAACTTACTGGAGCACAGTTTTCTCTAAACTGGACTTAAGAGCCGGTTACCACCAAATTTAGATGAATGAAGCTGATGTTGCTAAAACAGCCTTTTGCATTCATGAAGGGTTGTATGAATTTATGGTCATGCCACTTGGCCTCACTAATACTCTTGCCACTTTTCAAGGCCCTATGAATTCAGTTTTTAAACCTTACTTGAGGAAATTTGTTCTGGTCTTTTTTGATGATATTTTAGTATATAGCAAGGATTAAATGACTCATTTAGAGCATTGATGGAAGACTTTATTGCTTTTACATCAATATCAACTTTTTGCCAAAGCTTCCAATTGTACCTTTGCTACCACACAGATTGATTATTCGGGATATGTCATCATAGTTAATGGGGTTCAAGCAGATCTCAAGTTGACAACAATTGCTTGTTGGCCAATTCCTTCTTCCATTAAGGAATTGAGAGGTTTTTTAGGCCTTATCGGCTACTATCGCTACCGTCGGTTTGTTTAGAATTATGGCTCTATTAGCAGTCCCCTCACTAAGTTGTTGAAAAAGAATGAGCATTTTGTTTAGTTGTAGTAGGCTCATTCAGCTTTTGAATCTCTCAAACAAGCCATGATTTCTCCCTTGGTACTTCTTCCTAACTTCAACAAGACTTTTGTTATTGAGACTGATGCTTCGGGACGTGGTTTGGGAGCTATATTATCCCAAAATGGTTACCCTTTGGCTTTTGCGAGTAAGGCGCTTTCCCCATTAAAAAGACAATTATCTGCTTATGAACGCGAATTATTAGTTATGATGTTTGCAGTCAAATAATGGTGTCCTTATTTTTGGGGGCAGAAATTTATTATCAAAACTGATCACTTGCCTTTAAAGCATCTTCTAAAGCAGCCTGATTTAAGTCCAGAGCAATGCAAGTGGCTTCATAAGTTGTGGGGATTAGACTAAGAAATTGTGTACCAAAAGGGAAGTGAAAATATCACAGCTAATGCTTTGTCTAGACACTCTAAGGGGTTTTACATGGCTATTTCAATGCCTATTTCTCCATTGTACGACAAGGTGCGTGATTCTTGGCTTCTTGATGATCATCTACAGTGACTTATTAAGGCTTTGGAGAATGATCCCTTCTCTAATCCTAAGTATACTTGGGAACATCACTTGCTGAAATGAAAAGGCAAACTTGTGGTAGGGGCTGATTAGGGCCTTAGAGATGATTGACTTACGTTTTTCCATAATGATGGCATTGGGGGGGCATTCCAGTATGACTCCAACTTATAAAGGAATTGCTTCTTTCTTTTATTGGAAGGGGATGGAGAAGGTTGTTCACAATTATGTGCGTCAATGCACAAGATGTCAAAGATTTAAGCTAGAATTGGTGGCTTCTCCTAGGCTTCTCCAACTTTTGCCCATTCTTAAACATGTTTGGTCGGAAGTCGGAACTCTTAATAGATTTTATTAGTGGCCTTCCAAAATCTTACTCTAGAGCCACTATATTGGTGGTAGTTGATCGCTTGTTTAAGGCTGCTTATTTTATGGCTCTTAAGCACCTGTTTACTGTTGTGGACATGGCTAATATGTTCATGGATAATGTTGTCTAGTTGCATGGCTTCCCTAAGTCTATTGTTTCCAATCAAGATCCTATCTTTTAAGGGGAATTATGGAAGGAACTTGCTCGGTTATATGGGGCCAGATTACAATTTTCTTCTGCATACCACCCTCAAACTGATGGCCAAACCAAGGTACTTTGTTGTCATTTGGAGTGCTACCTTCGTTGCATGACGGGAGGCTTTCTTAAGCAATGGGTTAGGTGGCTGCCGCTTGCTGAATTATGGTACAATGCTACCTTCCACTCTTCCATTGGCATGTCTTCCTTTGAAGCAGTATTTGGGGTGCCTCCCCCTACTTGTGGGTGATTCCTCTAATAAAATGGTTGACAAAACTTGCATTTCACGGGAACTTACTATCTAACTTCTGAAACAACACTTATTGAAAGCTCAACACAGGATGATTCGACAAGCCAGTGAGCTCAAATCCGAGTGCAAGTTTGCTGAAGGGGATGTGGTTTTCCTCAAATTACCTCCTTTTAGGAAGAATCTTTTGAACAACTCTTCCTTGCATAAGCTAGCTGCTCGCTACTTTGGACCATTCAAGGTCATAAAGCATATTGGGGAAGTTGCATATGAATTGGATCTTCCTCCTAACACTAGGGTGTATCTGGTTTTTCATGATTCATTGCTGGAAAAGTATGTTGACTCCGCTGCCCCCACTAATCCCACCGTGCCTCCAGTGGATGAGCAGGGTCAATTTCTGTTGGAGCCCGAAGAATTATTGGGCACGAAAATTATTAAGCACCATAATCTACCTGTGACTCAAGTGTTGGTTTGCTGGAAATTTTCTCAATCCAAAGACGCTACCTGGGAAGATCTTTCAGCAATCAAGCAGCAGTTCCCTCATTTCTGAACAGATGCTCCAGCTTCTGCCACTACCCTTGTGGACAAGGATGTTTTTTAGGGGGGGAGCATATTGTTGTAAGTTACTGCTATTTACTGCTATTTGAGGGCTTTATTTTCATGTTGATATGTTATTATTGTCTTTATGTGTTGCTGAATCTTAGGGTAGTTTTTGAGTGTGAGACCTTACCTCTTAGGGCACGTGTCTAGGTTTAGGATATATCATGTATCCTGCCCCCCTGTTACGTGCTGTGAATGAAACCAGTCTTTTTGTCTATATTTCTCTTCTTCTATCAGAATCTGATAATCCTAATAATTAATGGTTGTCTAGTTCTATATTATCTTGTACTAACCGCTGGTTCTTTAACGGGTCCTTGTATATGAAGTTTATGTTGCTATTTTCCTTTTTTTTTTTAATGCAGGGATAGGAAAAGGTGGCTAAAGATGTCAATTTTAAGCACAGCTGGGAGTGGAAAATTCAGCAGCGACAGGACCATTGCTCAGTATGCCAATGAAATTTGGAACATAGCAGAGTGCCGCGTACCTTGATTTCAGCTGCAGATCTCTCACCTTCAAGTCTCTGAGAAGTAAAATGGATAGTAGCATCAGAAGTAAGAGGGAGAGAAATGAACATTCACTTCTTTCGTGGCTGAATCTGTGTGTCCATGCCCTGTCAGGTTCTGAGATGTCTGCTGTATAATCATCCTTCATAAGTGCCCTCCACTCATCTGCTTTTGATTGATGGAGCTTTCTATTTTCAGTGTTCATAATAACAATATCTGTGTTCAGTCGAATAAGATCATATTCTCTCAGAATAATGATTAGGTTATCTGTTTTACCGCAGGGAAAAAAAGAATAAAGGAAGAAAATATATCAATAATTGTGAACGAGTCTGTTTTCATTTGTTACACTGTACCTGTAAAGTAAATTTGATTCTCATTTTAAACTCTATATACTGTTATGTATTATGTGATGTTGCTTGAGGACTTCGGTAATAATCACTATGGAATGTGATAGATTATTATTTATTAAGCTCTTTGTATATTTTCCCCCCTTTGTTATCTTGCCCAGATTTAATATATTATAAAATTATTATTATATTAAATAATAAATAAATAAATCTAAAATATTAAATTTGACCTGAACAGCTTAGAAATGTAATAAAAATATTTTATAAAATCTTTTTTAAATTTTAGGATATACTGTATCTCAATCATTGAAGTTGAAATTTAAGAGTGTTGAAGATAGGAGGAAAGATAGGTGAGGGGATGGACTGGTAGAAAGAGTTGAGCCAACTCGCATAGAATTAGAGCACTTTTTCTTTCAGGCTAAGAAAAAAAAAACGGGGAGATAGAAATTTTCTGCCGAACCTTTTGCCAACAGTGGAAGTAGAGCTCCTGGGTGGGAAACATCTTCATCCCACTAATTTTTGGGTTATTTTACTGTTTTATTTGTAATTTTCAAAATTTATTTATTTGGTAAATTTCATTCAAATATATTTGCCAAGGGTTGCTAGCTTACCTGAAAGTGGAAATATATTGATGCAAATGCAAGAGATATTTGTATAGAAGTCACCAATAAGAAAATAACAAGTACAAAGTTTCAAATTAACTTTAATAATAAATTTTAATGAGATCGATTGTTATAAATTTTTTATGAATAATGTTAAGATAAGAAGATCAAATTTAATGTGATTGACTTAATTATTACACCGACTTATAGATAATAAATTAACGTGAATATAATTGATGTGGATATTTTTATAATAAAAAATAAAATGATGCTCATATCGAGTTCTTGTTTTGGCCCAAAATAAAAAAAAAAACGTCGCAAACAAATCACGTCAGTTGCCGGCCTGCCGCTTTACATTCATATATGTTAGACCTGTCAATGAATGATAAATCAGTTTCTCGTGGGCCACGGAAACATTAATATTAATTGACATTGACCAGATATTTTATAATCTTATAAATTAATACATCAATAAAGATGATATGGTAATTTGTCAACTATATAAAATAAATTAGATAATTATATGATGTTAAAAATCAAATTGATACGGTAACGATTACAAATTTTAATTTAATAATTAATATGAATATGAATGTTGATGTTGAATTTTAACAAAAGAAGTTAAATAAGATAATGATGTGAGTATATAAAAAAAAGCAAAAAAATTAAAAAATTCTGACGCCTATATATTACGATAATGTAATATAGGTTATAATAGATTCTTGCTTCGCAGTCAGAAACAATGGCAAATAACCAGAGCTCAAAAAAACCCAATGCAGATTTCAATTTGAAGGAGATCTCTCCAAGTATTGGGGTCAGGACTGGCAAAAGCCATGGTGGAATCACAAATGCCACAGACCTTGTTGAAACCACTCTTTTCTTGTACGTGAGGATTGTCAGGGCCGAGGACTTGCCGGGAATTACAGGTCCTAATACTTGTGATCCTTATGTGGACCTGAAAGTTGGAGGCCTAAAAGCGACCACCTTGTGCTGCAGCAGAAACTCAAACCCAGAATGGAACCAAGTCTTCGCTTTAGCGAAAGCTCGTATTCAAGAGCCGACTCTTGAAATTCTGGTGAAAGATCAGATTCCAAGGTTTGGTGAAATTTTGGGTCGCTTATCTTTCGCTGTTTCGGACATTCCCACACGAGTTCCATCTGATAGTTCACTTGCACCTCAATGGTATTGGCTAGAGGATCAAAAGGGAAGTGGTTTGGGAAGATTGATGCTCTCTATTTGGATAGGTACTCAGGCTGATGAGGCTTTTCCCGAAGCTAGGCATTTAGAATCAACAATAATAAATGCTCATAACGTTCTTAATACTCATTCGAAGATATATCTTTCGCCTAGAATTTGGTGTCTTAGAGTCAATTTGATCCAAGCCCAGGACCTGTTATATGAAGACACAGCTGAAAACTCTGAGATTTTTGTTCAAGCTACCTTGGGGAGTTTTACTTTCAGAAGTAAGTCAGTTAATAACAATAAAGGAAATCCAAAATGGAATGAGGATATGTTCATTGCCGTGCTTGAACCATTTGATCAGCAATTGTTTCTGAGTGTGGAGCAGGGCAAAATGAACACTACAGAAGCATAGGGAAGTGTTCAGTTCCTGTCAAGAATGCTGACAAGAGGTTAGATGGTGCACCTCCTTCTGCCAAATGGTATAATCTTGAGAGACCCAATATCATTACTGAGGTTCAAAATAATGCAAAAGTTATTAGTAAGCTTAATATGAAGCTCTCTTTGGATGGTGGATATCACATATTTGATGAGGATCCATGTTTTAGCAGTGATCTGAATCCAACAGTACCGAGGTTGTGGAGATCCAGTGTTGGGGTTTTTGAATTGGGGATCTTGAATGCTTCCGGCTTGCCTGCAATGAAGATAGGAAATCGTACTGATGCTTATTGTGTAGCTAAATATGGCCCAAAATGGGTTAGGACAAGAACAGTTATTAATAGTCTTAATCCAAAGTGGAATGAACAGTACACTTGGGATGTCTATGACCTATGTACATTCATCACAATTGCTGTGTTTGATAATGGTTGTTTACATGACAGTGCCGTAGATGCAAGAATAGGGAAGGTGAGAATCAATCTATCAGAAATGATAACCAACAGGATTTACACCTATTCTTTTCCACTTGCAGAACTGCAGCCTTCAGGATTGAAGAAGATGGGAGAAATTGAATTAGCTTTCAGGTTTAGCTGTCCAGATATGGCCAATCTCTTGAAACTCTATCTAATACCTAAGCTTCCTAGGCTGCATTTTTCTAACCCGTTGTCTCGGACTCAGTTAAGTGGTTTGAGGAAACAAACCATTATGCTTCTCTCTTTAAGGATGAGCAAGGCAGAACCTGCATTGAGGAGAGAGGTTGTGTCATATATGCTGGATTCTCATGAAAGCCTGTGGAGCATGCGCAGAGGAAGAGCTGATTTTGACAGGATCAAAGCTGTTATAAGTGGATTTGTTGCCTTGCAAACTCAATATAATAAGATATGTGAATGGGAGAATCCTACTTCATCGCTCATGGTTTGCCTGATAATTTTTGTTCTGATCTTTGAACCTCAAATTGTGCTACCTGGTATGTTGATCTGCCTTATACTGGATATCATCTTGCAGTATCAAAAGAGGCCGAGTCTCCTATCACATGTGGATTTGCAGTTGTCACGTGTTCAAGCAGCTAGTGTAGATGAATTGGAAGAAGAGTTTGATCCAATTCCATCCAAATTCGAAGACAGAATCATCAGGCATAGATATGATCGGTTAAGAATTGTCGTTGGGAGGCTTGCAGCTGAGATGGCTAAGTTTGTGACTAGAGTAGAAAAATTGCAATCCTTTGTGACCTGGCAGGATCCAACAGCTACATTTCTATTCATGATTTTGTGTCTGATTGGTGGGATAGTGACTTTGATTGTTCCTTTCCAAGTGATTATAAGTGTTTGTTTCCTTTATCTGCTTAGGCATCCAAGATTCCGCTCGCCCATTCCTACATTATTTGAGAACTGGGTGAGTAGGATGCCTTCAAAGTTAGACAGCATGACATAAAGAACACATTTTGTTGTTTTTTCTTCCCTCTCTTAGTGATAGCCAACATTGAATGCTTGCATGCATCCCGAGATTTTTCTAAATTGCGGGCATATTGTGATCCACCTTGCATTTTTAATTCTCATATTTTTATTGAATTTCTCCTTATGAATCCATTTTTTTTTAATACATTTAGAGATATGGGTATGAGTCATAGTGCACGGCAGAGAATTACCATTCCCGATACTATCAGGCTCCTTTTGACGACTAAAGATTTCACGAATTATTTATGGATAATGTTAAAAGCTAACCACAACCAAGGAATTTTGTGGGTCATCATGCTTCATAAATAAAACTCAGCCTCGACCAACCAGACACACTATCAACATCAGTATCAACAGAGTTCTATTTACGGGCGTAGGGTGAAGCGATAGCGTCATAAAGCGAACCACGTTAAGTTAATAACATATTCTTCTAGTCAGATGGGTTGTAAATATTTCATGAGGAGAGTAAAGAAATCACGCCAAGTAGCTAAAGGGGAATAAGGAGCTGATAACATTATTATCTAATTCGTTGGGCATCGGATAGAATAGTGAGTGACACCACCGTATGATAAACGTAATACCATATATAAAAGCTTCAAAAGTCGCAAGACTACTCCTGACACAACCAACAAAATCAAATACATTAGCAACACTACCACATATCTAGGAATATTAAATGTTGAGCCAACACGCGACCGGCAAATTTCAAGGGGAAGCTGATCTGGGAGTAGGAGACCTTGAAAATGACCTTGAACTTGCACTCACACTCGGACTTGTTGAGTAGCTTCTATCACTAACTGGTGTACGCCCACGTTTAAAAGAACCACCTCTCCTACTGCCTCTTGGTCTTGGAGAGATGCTGGGAGAATACCTCCTTCGTGAACTCCTCCTCGGTCTAGGGGAAAGACTTCGAGAAGAGCTCCTTCTCCGTGAACTCCTCGGTCGAGGGGAAATACTCCTTGAATAGCTCCTTCTTGAGCTCCTCCTCTGCACAGGGGACACACTGCGGGAATATCTCCTTGAACTTCTCCTTGGCCTTGGGGAGGCACTTGGGGAAATGGACCTGTATCTGTGCCTTTTGTAGTAGCGATCATCAGGTGAGTCATAAGGAGAGAACGATCTATCACGCCTCCTGACAGGTGACCTGCTGTATGGCGAGCGGGATCGAGAGTAGGACCTGTGTCGAGCATAAGGGCTATAAGATCTGTCCCGGCTATAATATGGGGAGTAAGACCTCCGTCGACTGTGATAGGGAGAATAAGAACGACTCCTAGTGCGATCAGAAGAATATGGTGATCGGCTGTAGCTTCTTCTGTAAGGAGAATAACTAGGGGATCGCCGAGGCGAATAGCTTGAAGAGCGACGACGCACTGAATGATAATCAGATGGGATGTTAAAGATGAATGAGCATGCCAGCATAATCACACAAGACAGAATGAAAGCACGAGAACGAAGATGAAATGCTTACCCCGAACGGTCCTTAACCCAAGATACCTCCCAGGTGTCGGGGTTCGACCCCGACTTCTTCTAGCCTGCAATGATTGCACATAACAGCATGAGGCGAAAACATTACTAAAAAACTATATCCTTAACATGGTAAATGGTAAAACCAAATACTACAGTAGCAGTTAGAAGAATAATCATAACATATCAGAACATTGTATTCAGGCATAAAATGGTAAGAAAAAAGAGAGAAATGTGCAGGGCATACAACCCCAGTGGTCTGATACTTTGTTGATGTGTTTGATTTGTATGTTTAGTTGAGATTTGAGAGGTTGATGAAGAGCTGCTACACACAGCTAACCTGCTGCCACAGAAACTTCACAGGGAAAGAAGCAAAAAGCTTTCAAATCTCACAAAGAACTAAGTGCAACTCATCCATATATCTCATACGCAAAATCAGTGCGAGTTGAATTGAATCAACAATTAACAAATATATTTCAGAATCTTGCTCAGAACCAAATGATATTTAAAAAGTATACCTTTTCTACTGTGATGACACGCCCTTCTAGAACAGAGCGATTCAGATACTTTACACACCGATCAGCATCCTCAACAGTTCTCATAGTCACAAATCCAAACCCTCGTGATTCTCTTGTCCATGGATCAACAACCAGGTGAACGTCACTCACCTAAAACAAAGCAACACGAGTAAAGTAAAAATTGACACAAAACCTATCCAATTAAAAATAGAACGTTGAACAAACAATAACAAGTCCAAAAAAAAAAAGGACATCAATGGCCATAGCATAAAAGAAAATGAGCATACTTTCCCCTCGCTTGCGAAATGCTTCTCCAACTCTCTCTTGGTAATCCGAGGAGACAACCCTGTCACATACAGATTGTTACCGGGATTCTCTGCATCCCTTGATGGGCTCCTATATCGGGGGAAAAAAACAAATCAGACAGAAATGAATAATAAAACATCTGAAGTGAGAAAATGAGTAAGAGAAAGAAGTCCATGACATGTGAGAAGTCAGAAGAAAGTTTTTTCTTTTGTTTTTTTTTTGGAGGGGGGTCACCTTGAAAAGCTCCTGGATCTTGACCGTGACAGAGACCTGGAAACAGACCTACTGTATCGCTTGTACAGAGGTGATTGAGAATACCTACGAAGTACACACATAACACCTTTCAGAAAAAAATGCTCACCACTTAAAATAAGCATGAAATTAAACTATTTTGTAATCTAACCTTGATCTTCTTGAGTAAGACATCTGCAACAAATCAGACCGCATACAGAAGTAGGTATTAAATAAACTCATATCAATAATCAAGAAATTAATAAAAAATGACAAGAGTCCAACAACATAAAATACCACGCTCCAACAAGAAATTGACATTGAATCAAATACTCAAATTACTGTGTTAAAAAATTAATGATACAATTTCAATTAAACAAAATAAGCATATCATCTGTTCACTTTCTAATTGAGCCAACACGTAAAAGGATTACCAGTTTCCAGCATACTTATTTGAAATACAAAAAAGACTAGTTTTCAATCAACTTAACCAAATCTTGGCAATTCTTAGTTACAAAACTTTACACCTAAATATGTCAAATAACTGATTTGCTCTTTGCTCAAAATATAGCTATGTTTCAAAACCAATTATTTTAACCGAGACATTTGTTACAGGCTCGCAGTTTCTTACTGTTTCGTGAAAGAGATAACACCATATCTCCCAAACTAGGTTTTTTAAGATCCGTTTTTCTGAATGAACAAAATTTGTTGAAGGCTTACAGCCCCTTCCAGTTTCATAATACAAGTCATGACATAAGAAACCAACAAAATCCGAAACTATACCTTATTCATATCTATCGGAAAACCTCAGACCCAGACCCAGACCCCAACACAGAATTTTCAGTGGTCTTTCGAATTCTCAATTTTCCCCAAATCCTGAACGCTTATATATGATACAAGCAAACTCAAAACCCAGATATAACATCCAGTACAAGAGTAAAATTTAAAAACACGTGCTCACTATAATACCCGATACAAATACCTTAGAAAAGAAATGAAATTTAGAGCCAGATAAGCAAAAGAGAATTTCCATCAATTGAAAAAGCAATCAAGAAAATCACTCGTGTCCATAATAGAATGAATTTGAAACTTACATTAGAAGCAGGTGATGAAAATACTCTTCCAACCGATGATATTGGTTAATGCAAGAACACGGTCCCTTTTTTCACACAGAGGAACAAACTTAGCCTGGAATGAAGAATGAAGCTTTACAGGTAAAAAAGGGATGTGACCTGGTAGAAGTTTCTGGAGATGCGGACGCGAGGCTATATTTAAATCTTGTTGAATTTGTTTGGCCAAACAAAAAAAGCCGGTTGGATTTTTCGTGGCTCACGTCGTCGCAAGATGCAAGGTTCGGCTTCATGGGTTTATTACTTCGGCAATCAAAAGACGCCACGTGTTGTGACGTCGGGCCTGTCGAATATTTGACGTGGCTGGTCGCTACTACTCATTGACATTGGGCAGGCATAGAAAATAAAAACGGAGGGAATCGCACCTGGCGCCTTCAAAAAGGAATCTCGGTAGACGAGGTCGAAAGGTTTCTGACATTTCTTTTAGGTTTAACTTTTAAGAGTCTCATTAGCTACCATTTTTTTTTTCTGGTTAAAGAAATAAAAAAAAAACTACTATGCTTTCTTTTAAATAACTTTATTATTAGAATTGTGAACTAAGACCAACCTAATTCTAAAAAATTGGCTTTTAAAATATCAAGATTTAAACAGATTGATTTTAATAAGTTCAATCATGTTTCAGAATTTTTTTTTACAAGGCCCGACCCCAACCTTTAAGATTGAAGGGCTAGCTCTATTTTTTTTTACTTTTTTTATTTTAAAATTTTAAAAAATATATTTATAATCTTAACAAAAATTATTATACATAAAATTAAATTTTAAAAAATAAATTTAAATCAATTTACACCACAATAATGAAAGAAAACTTAAACATTCAAGTCTAATATCAAATAACAACATTAAAATTAATATCAATAAAAATTAAACTTAATAAATATTATTAGCTAAATCTTAATGAATAAATGAAGGAGGGGTGAATGAGTTTAATATGTTCATTTCTTTTAATTACATATTTAATCTCCTATTTTTTAATATTACAATTTAAAAAAATAATAAAAGAGCTTAAAAAGCCTGTCCTTTTATTTTTGAGCTTAAAAGGACTTTAAACCTGAATTATCATTTTTTCTTTCAAAGTAGAGGCTCGACTTTAATTATTTTCGAGCATAAAAAAATTAATCCGACGGACTCAATTTTAATTGACAGCTCTACTTATTACCCCTCATTTTGAAAAATATAACCAAACTATGAAATGACTACTATTTGACTCTACCTTTTCTTCCTTCTCTTATCCCTCGTTCTTTTTTTACGCCTCCCTCAAGCTCAGGCAATCCTTTGCTAATACTATCTCCCTTTCTTTCTGGGTCCTTAATTCCTCTCTTTATTTTGTTTGATGGACTGTCATAATCATCAACAACAACAACGTCATCATCGGTATTCATTTTTTTGACTTGGGTCTTTCCGGCAAAGTAATGCTTTGTTAGCTACTAAAGGTCACAGACAAGCAATGCTCATTTGTTTTTGGTTACAATTGCCTTTTTTTTTTAATATAGTTATTAGACATGAGAGGAAGATCATATGTGTTTACGCGATTGTGTATATATTAGATCGACATGAAAATGACCCTTTTACTTTTTGTGTAGGACACTAAATTATTTAAATTTAAACATGATGTACTTGTTTATGTTATCAATAAAAGCAAGTTGTTATTTACATATTTTTGTAGTGATTTTTTTTTTTTGGTTAACAATTTGTTCTGCACGCGTGTTCAATTGTTAAAATCACTAGAGCCTAATGAATGAACATTTTGTTAAAAATAATTGAACTTTGATTGTTATTAATGAACCTTCTAATGTAAAGTTCATTTAGGGGACTTGTAAAAGTTACATTACAATATTTGTGTTATAATTTACATTCTACAACCAAAAAAAAAAAGTTACTTGAGACAGTATTGGTACCAATGAATGAAGAATTGGATCGGACTGTTATTCGGTAAACCGATTAATTGGTTGAGTTGGTTTACCAGGTAAGCTGAAGAAATGTTAACCCAATCAACCCAAGTGTAACCCGATGGGTTGGACAAGTTACATATTTTGTCTATCAAAACTCTAAAATGTCATCATTTTTGAGATTTAAAAAAAGAATGAAATGAACATCTGAACCCAAAAAGTTGAGAAGAGAATTAATCCCTACCCCAAATTGATCCTCTCACTCTCCCTCTCCCGTGTTTCGTTCGCTGTAGCTGCTGCCATCTCTCTTCGCATCTCTGTCTGAAAAGTCATCATCGATGTTGCTGCTCTAAGTGAAACCTCGCTGTCTTTGTCTCTTGCTATTACTTGTATGCTCATCTCTATCTGTGGTGCTAGCCGGTGTTCTCTTTTTCTACTTTGCATTTCTTTCCCCTTCTTCATTGCTAGTGCCATCTAAGCTTTTGTGAACGGGTAGAAGTGTGAAGGTTACGTGGGACTGTGTTAGTCAAAATTGAAAACAAATGCTTCTACTTTTCTTGATGATAGAGAACCTATTAAAAGTAACTATTTTTTTATGGTAGGAAAGGCAGACAACAAACTTAGCTACATAAACTAAGAAAAGAAATGACAAGAACGAGTCTAAAATCACATGCAGTATCCTTCATACATGGTCATCAAACACCTCCTCTATGCTTGGAACAATGCGATCATTTCCCTCACAAAAACTCAAGAATATATAATATCATTCAAGATTAAAATTCAAGTAGGAAACTTGAACCGGTAAATATTTGAAATGTTAGTAATTTATTATTGTCAAAATTATTATTATATTTGTGTCTTATATGAGACATTAATCTTAAATACTAATAAATATTTTGATAATTAATGTTTTTTATTTAAATTTTATTATTTAAATAATGATCGGTTTGTTGTCAGTTTGACCCTCAGTTCAACCCCGTGAATCACTAACTCATAAACCAATGCCTCAACCGATCTGATGACTGGTATGGTTTTCAGTACCTTGGTTGGTACAATCTGATTTTACAAATTTAATATGTTAATTTATTTTTAATAAAAATTAATTCATGTTTATAAGAGGTAGATGTAATTATAATTTTGTGTTAATTTTTGAATTAATTATAATTTTTTAGTGGTTAAAATATACATTCAATTCTTTGACTTTACACAATATTTCATTTTAGTCTATTGACTTTATAAAGTATTTTTTTGACCATTTACTTCTAACACTGTTAATTTTATTCTAATAAATTTTTACATTAAACTTTTAAATATTAACAACATATTCTCAAATGTTGACATATTAAGTTTAATTTTTTTAAAATAATAATAATTAATACAAAAAATAATTATTTAAAACTAACGATATTAGAGACAGAGGACTAAAAAGATACTTTATAAAATTAAATGACTAAATTAAAATATTGTATAAAGTTATAAGATTAAAAATATACTTTAACCTTTTTAAGTACTATTCAAGTTAAAATTTTCAAATTTTGCACAATGAATCAACCAGAAATACAGAATAAAAAACATAGGACCTAATTTGTCATGATAACAAATAATTCATTGCCTTGTTTGGCATTTGAAAATAGTGATTAAGTATAATCTGATTGGTTGTGAATTAAATAAGTACGCATGCTCATGATTTTCAAAAAAAAAAAAAAGTATGCGTCATTAACATGCAATCTAAATAATGTGTTACATCAAGGAGAGGTTGCTATGGCTGTCGTGGCATGTTCAAAATTAAATTTTGATAATGTCACCTGTCGATAGCGGATGTCAGTTTTTTGGGGCCTTTCAATGCCCATGTTTCTATTGCTATCAGGCGCAAGTTAATCCTTAGAAGGCCCATGTCACTTTGATTGCTATGGATGCTATTACGTTCGGTGACTGCACCGACCTTAAAAATAACGACTCTGCTCGACCGAAAATAAAAAATAAAAAAAATAAAGAAATAAAGAATCTGATGACATGTACACGGCCACCGGAGACCGAAGTTGGTATTTTTAGGAGGGTGATACATATTATAAATTATAAAATGTTATAACATTATAACCCAATGCCACATAATTCTCAAAACATTAATTTGATGACCATTAGGCCACTTATTATTAATATAATATTATATTATAAAATGTTATACATATTTAATAATTTGTGTCAACTTAAACAAAGAAAAATGACAACTTGAATATAAGAAAATAACAATTTAAATTAAAGTAAATAACAATTTGAGTGTATGAAAATGACAATTTAATAACAAAATATGATAATTTTGGTATAAAAAATAACAATTTAAGTTTAAGTAAATAAAAATTTGGATATACAAAATGACAACCTAATAAAGGAAAATGATAACTTGAATATCGAAAAATAGCAATTTGAATTCAAGTAAATAACAATTTAGTTATATGAAATGACAACTTAATACAAGAAAATGATAATTTAGCAAAGAAAAATGTAAAATTAAGTATCCAAAAATGTTAATTTAAGTTTGAGTAAATAATAATTCAGATATATGAAAGTAATAATTTAGATACACGATAATCACAACTTGTCATGTAAAATATGGTAAATCTCATTGCAGGATACGGAGGTGATTACAACATGTTATTGTAGGACACGTATGTCTCTGTGCAAAATTTTATGAAAATATATTAGTTCCACATAAAATATGGTAAATCTTCATTACAGTGCATGGATCAATCAAATTAAATGACCATCTCCTGTGTGTTTTTTTCTTGTTCGGGGTGCATGAACATATTCAATATCATTAATACGGTTACATGCATCTCTTGCGTGCTGATAACAATTTTAATTGTTATTGTTATTTGACTTATATGTCTTATATATTCATGAAATGAACACAAGCGCAGATCTTATTGAAAAATTTTTTTAAATTCAATGCTATAGAAATTGTTTTCAGTGCCTAATAAATTACATAACATTATAGTTACATGATTAGACAATATATATATTGGTATGAGTATAATTAAAAGACACTTAACAATTTTTTTTGATTTCAAATTCAATGTACTCCCTCTGATTCCTAGGAGGTTTTCTAGAAATATTTGTTTAGCCCTTAATATAAGGCACTGAAAGGTATTGATTATGCTTTTCTTTACCTATAATTAAAATTATCAATCAACTATAAGAGATAATGTAATGCAAAATTTAAAAGTTTTCACTTAAACAGGGATAAAATTGAAAAATTTATCTATTTTCAAATAAATTCAATAATTTAACTTCATCTTCTTAATTTCAACTAAGTAATTAGACGTGCAAAGGGTAAGACGGATCACAAAGATAATTATTTAAATGCATTTGACTTTCTTTACACTGAAAATTAAAGGTTAAATTAAAAGTACTCAATCTCTCTGTATTTATTTTATTTTTATTTTGAACCATTACTGTTCAGAGTGAGTGCATGAACCCACATATAATCTCATTCAAATTAGGAAGTTTGGAAGTTAATATTGGGGGTGGGAAAATATTTTTATATTCAGCGTTTAATGCCTCCAAGTCCAAAAGCTTGAGGATGAAGATGAACCAAGCAAAATTGACGCATTGGGTTCAACGCTGACTGTGTGAGACGATGACCGCTGTGGCTGACTCAAATCCATAACTTCGTTTGGCTGCATGAAGCCATGCACCTCCACTTTTCACTCTCTTCACTGCTCCATCTCTCTCTTCCCTAAATACACATGAGCGTTTCGTTTCCTCCATTCACTCTTTCTCGTCTTCTCCGTTTCTCCTCCTCCCAAGCTTTCTCTTCCGGGTTCGGAATTTGCGGTCATGGCAGATTTCGATGCTCGCCTAATGTGCTTTTGATTCTCTCTCTCTCTCTCTCTCTCTCTCTCTCTCTCTCTTTCTCTTTCCCGTCGTTTTTATTGTTCATGATCTAGATCACTCAAGAATCGCTGATTGATTTTCGCTTCTCTGATGAGTTACTTCTTGTGGAACTTTGAAGGTTGGATCGTTACCTTTATGACTATTTCATGAAGAAAAACTTGCCAGAACTTGCCGAGACTTTCAAGAACGAGGCTAATCTTGAAATTGATCCGAATGTTCCGCTAGGTAAATGTATCAATAGTGGTTTGGTTCTTCTACGTCTTGTTGTTTTATCCTGCTTGTTGATTGCAGAAAATGATCCTCATGCTAATCATTTCACAGAGTCGCTACACTCTAATGATTGAAGTACATGTAATTATTGTGATAAGCATGTTATTGATTGGAAGGTTGCCAAGGTTGTAACGTACAATTAATTCCCTTTCCCTTGAATTTAATTTCTTGCGATTGAGACTCAGGTGAATTGGTGGTGAGGGTTTGGGTAGAGGGTTACTGTTCGATTCTTCTCCCGTGCAAAATAAAGATTTTATTTGGTCGACAGAGAAAATTAAAAGATGAATTACACTTTAGCCAAATCTTTTCCGGTGATATATGGCTGTAAAAACTGGACAGGAATAGTGGGAGGCTGTGAGCTGAACAAACGTAAGCCCAATAAATTTATAGGAGTCAATACATTTGCACCCTGGGTTAGACATGGCTTCCACGTTTCTTCAAAATTTTTAAGGTAGATACAATATATCATATCATCTATATCATTGTACCTTTCAATTAAATAAAATTTTGTGTTACTATTTTAATAAATTTATTTTTATAATAAAATTTCTATATTATTTTTTATTTTTATATTATTGTTATTATTAAAATCAATTTATAGTGTCATGTTTTTATTAGATGAACTAAGATTTCGTACTAAGAATTTTTCTATTATATAAGACCTATTTAATCCATTAATTTCTTTAAAATAGAAGCTTTATGGGAATTGATGAAGCCTCTAGATTATCTCGAGCATGGAGGGAAAATCTTGAGCACCGATCCATCACGAGAAACTTAATAAAGCACAAGCAGACGGTATCAACAGAATTAACCTGCACGTAGTCCAACATTAGTGCGCGGGTTGTAAGTTTTTACTTCAGGCAAAGGTCTCTCTAAGTTGATGCAGGATATGTATGGATATGTCACGCCCAAGATGGAGAAGTTGGGCCGACAATGCAGAGTATGTGTGGATATGTTACGGCCTTCGCAGAAGCGTGTCTTATGGAGAAGTTACGCCCCATATGGAATGTAATAAATTCTTTCAATCAATTTCTTTGGGTTTTAGGTCCTTTCATGCATTCTTTTATCCAGAAAAATACTAGCGCTACCTTGGCCTTCGCTTGGTGTGTATTTGGAAACCTGCTGCCCTTGGTCAAAACTCAAAACGTAGATTTGACCTGAGAGTAGCTTTGCCTTGATAGTTGAACGGGTTTCCAAAAATAGCGCTAGTCAACTTGTTCCTCCCATAAAGCACTTGCTAGGCACCATGCACTTCACTGAAGTTGTCTTACCTCAGCCTTCTAGAGGCTAAGGCTGCTGAAGTGCCTTGGTACCCTTAGCTTCCCTAGTTTAATAGAGGTTAGAGAATATTATAAGAGATTTTCGATGGTTGACTGCCAAATTGCTATTAACAATAAGATTCATCATTTTGATGGGAGATCTGTGGTGGAAGGTTGCCTGAGTTTTAGGAAGCTCAGCATCTGAAGTCATTGCCTTAGTTGGAACTGGTCCGAAAATTCACTAGACAGTACTGGCATCAAATGAAAAATTGGGGTTGGAGCCAAGTACTCTAGACATCGGAGATTGGACATTGAACAGCTCTAGCATGCTAGCTTTAAAAATCTTTCTAAATTTCTTTTGCTTTACAGTACTCTAACAATATATGTGTGCCACTTGCTCTTTTCTCTGGAGAGTGCTCCTTCAGGACTCTTCTATAGAGTACTAAATAGCGTTAACACCAATGTATGATTCCACATTCATCATCATTATTTAGAGTATTACACATTTATGCATTATTTCTCCACTTCCATGTTCTTGAATTATGTTCAGAACTATAAATCTTCAGGTGAATTATAATTTTTGACAACGAAATATGGTCATTTCTTGCAGCAATAGATGTACCGGAAGGATTTTTGCTTGAGTGGTGGAAAGTGAATTGTGATTTTGCCTCACTTAGAGAATGGCTGAACCAACGAGTGAGTAATCGTGAGAAATCTCCTTCTAGATGGCTTGGTTTGGAGCAGTTCAAGTTGACTTTTTACAAGTGCAATTATGTCTATAAATATGACTGTTCCTTGGTTTAGTTACAGGAAAAACCAAGCATGGAAGCCACACAAGAACATAATGATTCTCAATCAGGAAAATTTTTCATGCATTCAGAAATAAACAAGCAGTTGCTGATTGATTATGCTTCTGGTACATTTCTTTGAGCAACTCATTAACTATATCAAGGCATTTCATTTTTTTTGTAATAAATCAGTGATTTCATTTCTACCAAAGAAAAGGCTTTAAACTGTATAGACATACTGCAATAAGAAAGAAAATCAAAGGCAACCTTCTAGGAAGGGTTCTCCTAATTCCTGGAATTTCAAATTTGATGGAGTAAATATGCAGTTTTACCCCATCGTGGATATGTTACCTAATCACTGGAGTCTTGGTACTTTGCACACCTTCATTCACCTTTCATGCATTGGTTAATTTACTCAAATTTGGATTATTTTATCTCAAGTTTACTGGGATGCTTTGCTATGCACAGTTAAAGGGTCGGATGTTACGCTAGTGTGAGTGTATATTTTTGAGAACTCCTTGCATTTGCTAATACAATGTGCTAACAAGAATCATGTCAATGATGATGGTCAACTGGTCATATATATTCAAGAGTCAAATTGAGGCATTGCCTTCTACTTTATATTCTTCTGCTTTAATTTTAATTGGTTACAATCCTGCAGCAATGAGCACTGGGAGGAAGTCACCAGCCTTGCATGTAATATTTCATGTTCCTTGGGCTATAATATTAACTGCTTGGTTTGTGTAAGTTTAAACTTGTGTTTTTGTTTTTTATTTTAAATATTATATTACTTAATTTCGTGCAGGAAAGGGGTAAAGCGCTCCTGGCTTTCTCAACATCATCACATGAACAGGGACTACTGACACCCAATTTGGCAAAATATATTCCATCCAATCATCCAAATACAAGTGGTCATAAACCAGAACCTATATTCTATGCTACACTGGGAATAGCAAATACTGGGTCGATTGAGGTAATCATAAGATAAATGGTTCAGTCTGAAACTACACCTGGTGACATATATTATTTACTTGTTCATTGTTGAAATAAGTATGAGAATTTACAGGGATGTAACTGAATTACCTGTTCACTGTTAAAATAAATATGAGAATTTACAGGGATGTAACTGAATTACTTGTTCATTGTTAAAATAAATGTGAGAATTTACAGGGATGTAACTGAATTGATAATGAGACACACACACACACACACACAAAGGGAGGTAAAAAACTATCCAGTCTATAGTTGATTCTTGTCATTTTTTAACAGCAAACAGATCCCTGACTTGAGATCTTAGTAAGCACATCCTAATTGTTTGAAGAGAACACACAACTAACACGTTTTCTTTAGGAGATGTAATATGTGCTAAAACTGTCCACATTGGAATAAATATGCTGTGCAACTAAACCAGCCTTGTCCTCTCCATGTAGAACTTTAATCAAAGTGTCACGTTAGGATGTTTTTTACACAGGAAAAGCAGAATTTACATTTTTTAAAAAAAATTCATCTCTATAATTTTAAACTCTAATTTGATGTAACTCAATTCTTGTAATTTTGTCAGTTGAAATTCAATCTTTGAACTTTGATTCGATACAACTCAATCCTTAAAATTTAACTTGGCACAACTCAATCTCTAATTTAAATCATTTAAAAAGTTGGTACCTATATTTATATATATATATATATATATATATAATTATAAGGACTAAAGTTATCTGTTGGAGTTTAGGAACTAATATTTTAAATGGCCAAAACTATAAGAACTGTGTTACATTGAGTTAAAATTTAAAGATTGAGTTTCAACTAAGTAAAAACTATAAGGACCGAGTTTTACCAAATTAAAAGTTTAAAGACTGGGTTAAAACTATGAGAGCTAAATGATTAATTTTTCTTATTTTTTTCTTCAGTAATACATGGTTATATGCTCTGTTTGACTGGAAGATAGACATTTCCTAGCATGCATTACTTGTTACTAACAGTGTTTTTCATATAAAATTAGAAATGTTTGAGGTATAGGAATTCATGAAGCCCATGTAGATGTTTAGCGTACTCCTCTATCGTTAGCCTTATCCTCCTGTTATTTATCAGTTCTTCTAGTTTTGTTAATTGTTATTAGTGCGAGTAATTTTAGCCCTTAAACATGTTCAGGTGCTGCATTTCTTCTGCTATCCAATAGTCATGTCGTTATTTGGCTTTAGGTTTGTGAGCTGGATTTTGTCATGCTTGTCTCCTTTCAAATCAGTATCACGTGTGTGCGTGTGTTTATTCTACACTTATATAAACTCTGTCAATATTCTATTTTTTCTGTCTAACTATCTCTAAATGCAATACTTTAAAAAAAAAAAAAGGTAAATAAAGTTCTTATTCAATTTTATCTTTGCATCATATATTATGTGTGCTTTTGGTAATCCAAAGCAGCATAAATTTGAATAATTCATTGGCATTTGAAGAAGGAATCCCTTGTATGCAGAAAAGCGATGGTTCAACTTCTGAAGCGATAATGACTGATGGTGATACAAGTGGAACAAGTGACTGCACCAGCAACATTGGAAGACTTTCTACTGCTTCAGAAGTTCCAACAGGTATTTTTTTTTAAATGGCATTTATTAACAAAAGTATTTTGGTTGTGTGATAACTGATAAGTTAAATGCAGTTTTTATGTCATGGTTATATAGCATATAAAGTTCTAATCTGCAAGGGGCAACTTTTCTTACTAATTACTTAAGGAGGGTTTCCTATTTTATTTGGTTATCAATCAATATCTCGCCTTAATCTTACATGATTTTCGTGGTTGCTGTTTTCAAGAACTGATCACTTTTTCAAGTTAAATGGTTGGTATATTGTTTTCACAATACTTTACCTGTTGCTCTTATGATTGTGTCCTAATTACGGAAAATTATGCTTGCAGTCCGTCAGTTGGATTCCAATAACGAGAAATAGATCAATATCCTCAAGCATGGAATGACTTCGGTGTTTGCAGGAGTGAATTCGCTTGTGAATATTTATGATTATGGTCTAATTGTCTAATCAATATGCAAAGCCGACAAATTAAGCTTTATCTTATTGGTGTCCTATTAGTTCAGTTTCTTATATTATAGACCCTAGCCAACATATTTCTTTCAACACCAATATAGATTGGTGAAAGCCTTCAACAAGAAGTTAAGACTATCTTTTCATAATTTGATGTCTTTAACATGTAATTGCATTTTTATGACCTTAATCCATGTAATTGATTTCAATTAGTGAGATAAAGCTTCTTATTATTGTAGTCATAATGATCATAAACGCTCATGCTTTTTGTAATGGAATTGAAACTCATCAGTATGACAAAATGAACCTTTTGTAAAATTTGAAAGCATGCTTTTTCTTCCTAAATAAGTATACTATTTTCATTAATTTACATGACTGCCATTAAAATTATGTCATCCATGTCAATAATTTTTAACAATATAACCTCCTTTTTAAACAATAAAAACTAAATCAATAATTAAAAAAAATTAAACATGACAGACTGATCTTCATTGACCACTGAGACAAATTTAAATAATTAAAAATTACATTATCCCAAGAATTGAATTAATGACAATTAGATCTTTTGACAAAATATTATAAAAAAATATTACAAATATCAATTTAAATGGTTATAGACAAAAATTTCAATTATAGTTAAAAGTTACATTTAAAACTCAAATAACTTATTTTAATTAAAATTTTTGAATTTTCAATCGGTTAAATCAATAACTTCAAGTCATTTTTAAAAAATTTATCAAAAAATTAACTATCATTGATCCAATTTTTTGATAGGTAGTTGTCATTCTCCAAAAAAAAAAATTCATATTCTTTCTATGTTTTTCAACATCTATAACAATAATAGTAGTAAATAAATATTCTATTATTGTTTTTTTTAGGCCAAACTTAAAGTTAACTATTCAACATCCACTACTATTGATTCAATATTCTATTATTGTTTGATTTAATTGGAATAACCCTCTTAATTTTTTTATTTTTTATTTTTTGCCATTCATGTAGATTTAACTTTAAATTTTCATGTTTAAACGATCATAATTATTACAAGCTGCTTTAACATGAATGAGCTTGGAATCTTGGAATTGAATTCTTTTAAGTGAAATTCAAAAATTATGGTTTTCTTTAATTTTACCTTTTTTTTGCCATAACTTGAAAAAAGAAAAAAACTCTACAGCTGTGTTTTCGTTGACAATTGCCATGCTACGAGCCATGTTGTATGCTACATTATGGTTTTTGAGAATAGTGTTACACCCAATGGTGGGATTTGTGCTCACGCTTCTGTTGCTCTTGGATGCATGAAGAAGACGAAGGCTAAGTTAGGGATTGTTTAGTTTCTGTTCTCATTTTTTATTTTAAAAATTTGTTGTGTAATAACTTCTAAAAATTTTTTAAAACAAAATAAAATAAAAATCTGTTTAGTTATATCAATTAAAAAACAGTTTTAATTAGAATTAAAAAATAAACTGATAATAATGATTATAGGCCATTAATGGTAGTGATTAATAATAAAATTGGCCAAAGTAATTATAATTTTCAATAATCAAATGTAGTGTATTCTAAAACTAAAAAAAATGAAAACAACTTAAAATTATTTCTATTTTTTGTTTTTTTTAAATGGAAACAGTTTTAGAAACAAGCAAGTAAAAAACACTTATTCAATTTTAAATTTTTTTATTTTTAAAAATAAAAAACAGTTTGTAAAATTAAAAAACAAACAGGCCTTTAAACTCTGTTAACCTGCATGGCCGAATAGTTCCTATTGACCCCCCGAGTGCCCCTTGCAGTGAGGATGAGATAACGTCGTTCGTGGAAAGGGCGTTCTCTACTCGTACCCGAAGTACCAGCTGCGGTGGCATCTTTGCTTTGAAAGACTTACTGGAAATAATTTGGCTGCTTTTATGGTCCGGTTACAGGATGGGGATCAATGCTTTGAAAGGACAATTAGGGGCGTGTTTAATTGATTGGGATAGTTATCGTAAAACATTATCTAGGAGACTTCAACTGTGATGCGGACAAGATTATCTAGGTACCAATTTATGCATAAAACTAAGTTCATCCTCCAAGTTTGAGGATAAACTCAGAGAGATAGACTGTTTCAGTTTTAGTGAGGCTGTACTGTTGCAGTGCAGAGTATCTTTCTGGTGTTCAATTTTTATAATTGTTCGTTGCCGCTGTTGTCAAAACCTCATCTTATTTTTCAAGTTAAATGGTTGGTATGAATCTAAACAGATAGTTTTCACAGTACTTTTCTCGTTGCTCTTTATCCCTATTGCATTCCCAATAGGGCAAATTATTTTCACAATCAACCATTTTGAATCCCAACAAAGAGAAACAAATTCTTGTGTGTTTGAATTAAAAAATTTATAATTAAAATTACGATTCAATTGAAATTAGCAAATTAAAATTAAAAAAAATTTATAAATATAACATAATTTATATTTGGATATCTTTCTTTTCAGAAGTTAGTTGGATAAATTAAATTTTATTTAAATGATTTAATTTAAAAGCATAATAGTTAAAAAGAAGATAAGTTTATATATATATATATATTGCAACTAATTTAATATTTTTAAAAATATTAAACTTAAAATTATAAGTTTTAAAAAATAGATTAAAAATATAAAATAGAATGATAAATAAAAAATATTAATTTTTGAAAAGGTAGAATGAAATGATAACTTTACAAAATATTCAAATATAAAAAGTTATAAATTTATAAATTATAATTAAATATTATAAATTATAAAGTATAAAGTATTTTGAAATTAAAATAAATTGATAAATTATAATTTTATTAAAAAATTGTCCAAAGATTAAAAAAAAAAAGAACAAGAAGAAAAAATCAAACACCCCTTCTCTGTTAATATCTTCTAGACCCATCTTTTACATATGATACTATGGGATAAGATTATTATTATTATTATCGGTGGTCTCCATCATTGTTTGGAGGTTGTCCTCATCATCCACATCAAGTTCTTCCTTCATATCTCTAATTGCAAGGATGAACAGAGAGCAACAGAGTCTCAACAAAAAGAACAAAATTTACAAAGCAATCATGATGGACTCGACTTCCTCGAACGGCGACAACAACAAACACAATTAAGGTTAGTGGCAATGATGAGGAGGAGGAGGAAAAAATGAGTGTGCGAAGAGCGAAGAATCAGCACTGCAAGGAGAAGAGCAAATGATGGGAGTTTAGGTGGTGATAAATAGGAGAAAGAAGAATCTGAACATTCCACCTACCAGAATGCTCATTAAAAAAATCCTGGAGATAGCTTTGGCCAGAACGTTAGTTTTACTTCCAATGCTCGTTTAAAAAAAAATTATTCAAACATGATTTTAAATATTCCAATGAGCTTTCTTATCTTCAAATGAGGTTAGAATCCTCTCAAACCTCAATTACAGGGTTATCCAAACACACATTTCAACATCTTACTAGACCAAGATTTTCTCCCGACCCTCCCGTCCTAGACTCCCTCTTATCCTCACATGGTGGGGATAGGGGTCATTGCCCAGATCAGGAGGGGAGGAGGATCAGAAGTGATCCTAAGCCCCATCTTACTAGTTTCTTTTTAGTTCAATATTTCATTGTAAATGTTGGCACGGGCGTATAATATCATTTTTGTTTTCTCACTGTGAGTGAAATGGGTGAGGAAGGCTATGGATTTATCAAAAAAGAAATAATGTACATCTATAAACTTATCATAAGAATTTTCATACTTTAATCTTAAATTAATTTGTGGTATTAATTAAGGTACCGAAATGTCATGTTTTTAATAGTACAATGAAATTCATAAACCTAATACGAAGGATGCGAAGAATCATATCCAGACACAAATAACATGAGAACACCCCCATAAACTTAGCTTTATTAGACCCAGGATAAACATTTTCCTCTCTCCATTTGACCAGCAACAACATTGAAGAGAACGTGAAACTCCCACAACCTAACATGAACTTTCAAATGTCACTCCTGTTTGGCTTGTCTGAAAAGAATCCCACCTGAGACAGATTCAATCATGCAATTCCAGTCAGAGCTACTCTCCAAACAGTATATAGATGAAGCATAAACACTGTACATAGAAATTGTTACACAGGCCAAGTTATTGCGTCCATGTCAACATGTCAAGTTTTCAATACTACATTAGAAATGCCTAAGCGTAGCACGTTACCTCATTTGAAGCAGCAGGAACCCAGTCATTAGTTGCTGGATTGCACTTGCCAGAGGGATGGTGTGTGGTGTTGTTATCTGGCTCTATATGGAAGAAATTGTCACTTTTCTCCATTTCGATGAACCCTGTTCCAGTCTGCGAGAAAATCACAAATATTGGATTAAATTTAATGCAAGTCCATGTGTGATCACCATAAAGCAAAAATTGGTTTGATGACTTGCAACATTAAGCAAAACTAGACCCAAAAAACGAAAGAGAGTAAAACAATTTAATAAGTGTTGTTAATACAGAATGAATATCTGAACCAGATTGAAGAGAATATATACCGTATGATGTTGTTTGTCAACGCTGTTAAGATCATTGTAATACTCTGTTTCCACGAATTCCTCTGTCACTTGAATCCCATTACTAGCCAAATTCTGCATGAGTTCGTATTATTAGACAACCAAATGCATGTGAAACAGTAAAAGGATACACTTTGAAGATATCTAGGACTAGCTTCTCGTTGAAGTGTTTCTAACACAAAGGATAATTCATTTTTTTTTTCTGGGTCCAAGTTCAGATCCATATTTCAATAGCAACAGGAGAAATTTTACACATCATGCACGGTCTCGTCAAAAAGTGGACCTTGTATGAGAATAAACTTTAGATGCAAACTTCAAAAATCTATTATAAAAAAATTATATACTCATCAAACTTAAATTAAGATTCCACGAGAAAACTCATTTAGAATTTAGATCTGTGTTACTGAGAGTCCGAGAGCAAGACTTTCTACCACCGAGGTTAATACTAGATTTATATGTAGATCAGACTAAATAAAAAAACTACCACATGTTCATACTAAGCGTTTGTAGTCCAACGGTTAGGATAATTGCCTTCCAAGCAATAGACCCGGGTTCGACTCCCGGCAAACGCATGTCTTCTATAATTTTGTCCCCCTCTTAGAAGCAGGGAAGAGAAATTTGGGGAAGAAACCTGATAATAAGGAAGATTCTCGAGGCGTAGGAATTGAGGCAATTTATTTCTTTTTCTTTTATTTTTTTTATTGGGTCTCCTCCAAAAAAATTAAGAACCGAGAAAGGAAAAAGGAGAGGAGAAGTTTGAGGAAGAAACCTGAGGATGAGGAAGATTCTCGAGGCGTTGGAATTGAAGCATCTCAGGAATGGCACCGTCAGCATCGCCGGCGAGAGCATCGACGTATTGAGAAGAATAGTCGCTGCGCTGAGGCTTAGTGTGACGCTTGGGAGCGGCACCGTCGAAATACTGCCTGGTCTTTGTCTCGATCTGAGCCTCTTCCTCCATCGACACATGGACATCGCTCCTGTTCGGCCTCCGGCAGCACTCCATTCTCTCTTCTTCTTCTTCTTCTCTCTCTGTTACTTTTCCGCTCAGAATTGCTATGGACGATCACGTTAATGACGCCTCTTGTTTATAAAAGCGTGTGCCAGATATTTTTGGAGCCCACGCATTTACTATACCTTTTAAGAAATTAAATTTCAATTATTTACTTTTTTTTTAATTGACACATACGAGTAATAGATTCGGTTTATCAATCATCACTATATTGTAGATATAAAAATATTTTACCCATTAAATAATTGTGAGATTATAAGAATATTCATGAAAAAAATAAACTTATCATTTTATTAAAAAATTATATAATTATCATATTTTATTGATTAAAAGATGAAAAATTATATTATAAGCAATATTATAAAAAATGACCTATCTGGATTAATAATTTATAGTAACGATAAGTATTTTAAAAAATGTAAAAATGAGTTATCGTTGGTGTTTTAAAAGTTTAATTTGATCTTATTAATGTCATAAAGATATAGATAGATATGAAAATATATTTTTAAATTATAATATTTTAAAGATTATACCATAATTTTTTTCTTTTTGACATTTCCTTTCTTATTTTTGGACAGTTGGACACTACATCATCCCCTCTTAAATTATACTTTCTTTGTTTAAAAATATAAAATATTTTTTAAAAACTAAATATTAAAAAATATAAAATATTTTGAATCTTTTGGGATATAATCATTACATTTTTTTAAAAGTGCCCTATTAAATAAAGTGCTTTCTATTTTTTAAGGTGAAACACTTTATTAATAAAGATAAATATAGAAAGATATGGTTAGTTTAAAAATAAATAACTAATTTATTAGAGGGTGAAATTTGATTAAAAATACTTTATATTTTTAAATGAAAAGAGTAGCATTCAAAAGTTATGAATATTATTTTGCCAAAAAAATTATGAATATTAACTTGAAGAGGTATTAATAGTAAATTTTAGTAATTTATTATTTAAGATAACCAAAAATGCTGTTTCTAAAATTTTAATTTCCATTAATGTAAATTATAACAAAAAAATCCTTGATTTTTTAATTATAGAATCATCAATCAGTGTGCTGAATTGTTCAAAATAGTTTGTCTCGTAAAAGCTAATCAGTTCATCTAAATACACTATTTTCAATGTGAAATTCAGATAATTTCACTACAAAAATAGTGACATGATAACATGCAAAATATCCAATTAAAAAAAAAAGAGAATTCACCAAATGAATGATTAGTTTAGCATGATTAATTAATAATTCACAAAAATGTCAATGCAATGATGGAAGATGACTGATTGGTAAATTGATAGTTACTTTGACTGGAGCATTTTGTTAAAAAAGAATGTTTGGTGTAGATATTTGCAAGAAAATATCTAAGAAACCTAATCCAATTGTTCCTCTTCCGGTGGGACCGGTTGTTGGGACGTAATTGTCGTTGCATGTCAATAAATAAGTTTGGACCCGAGGGTATCAGTGTAATTACATTACCTCGTCCCCGCCAAGGGTCCAGATGCTGGGTGAATAATTGCGACGTAGGAAGAATTGAAAGTGAGATTTGGACTGCAATTGAATAATTTCATTTTTTTATATTTGATATAAAAAAATAAAAATTTAATCTCAATTTTAATCTCTCTTTAAAAAAATTACTTAATACCATCACCCTTTAAAAATTAATTTTGAGTTTGATTATTTTTAGATTAAATTGCCCTCGCCTCTCTCACTTGTCTCTCTCCCTCAGCCCTCACTCGGTCGACGCACTTTCAAACCAAGAGATACCGACGCCCCTCTCATCTACTGATGCCGTTCCCTCATCTGCCGATGCCAACACCATCCTCCAGCAATGTCGCTCCAGATCTAAATGGAGAAGGAGATCGAAGATAAGAGAAGAAGGAGAATGATTGATAACCCAAACCTCTTCTCCACGACATGAACCTGAGCTATGGCCACCTGAACCTATTGCTGCTGTTGTCGTTTTGAAGAGGAAAAGGAAGCCGATGAAAGGGCAAAGCCCAACCAAACGGCCGTCTAATCGATCTTCTCCCTATGCATGATGTTGTTGTTGGCATTCTCCATCATTCACCGTGGAATCAAATCAAGGATACGGTCCAATCTTTTTTGAAGAAGCATTTCTCCATCACTCTTGCGGCATAATCGAAGGGATGCAGGTCTGAAGGTTTTTTTTTTTTTTTTTAATTTTAAGAGGCATTATAATCTTTTCATAATTTATATTTAATTATAAAATAAAATAAAAGAAAGTATTTCTCACAAATATTACTTCATACTAAATATAATTTTAAAACCTCATTCCCACACTCAATTCTAATCTCAATCTCTTTAAATTGAGACATGCCTACAAAACAAGCCTAAGATCTAGACATGTTAGACAAGGTGAAACATCCATATATTACTCAACTTTAAACAAATTAAATCACCATAAATAAAGTGAAAGATCTATATAAACAAATCAACAATTATTATAAAAAACCATCAAATAGAAAAAAAAAATCCTAATATAATCGCCTGCAGATAAGAGCTATTAGAAAATTCAAATTAAATCCTCCATAGAACGAGTATCTAGATTCAATGTCTGGTCTTATTTTAAACAAGATTGTCTATAAAAGGATGACACAACCTGAACAAGTGACATGAAATAAGGGGGAGTGATACGGCTTACAAAGTAATGAACGGAGGGAGATGGTGCAGCAGAAAGCCTGACGGACCAAGGGACGTGCAAAGGCAAAAACAAGATGATTGACAATGCATCTGGTGAGGGACCAGGTCAAAGCTCTTGTGCTTTGCGGTTTGAAGGTTTAGATCTGTTTAGGGACAACAATGAGTTTAGACCTATTGCATGGGAGACAACAGGTCATTTAAAACAAAAGCAGCTATGGAAAAAAAAAAACAAAAAAACAAAAGCAAAGCACTTCGGTAGCTTTTGCTACCATCTTCCAAGGCACTTCCAAAAAAGCACTCCGGTAGGTCCATTTAAAAAAGAAAAAAAATATTTTGGCTTGGCCTTTCCAAAAGTGCTTCAGAGAAAGCTCTCCCATAAGTTTATACAATTTTATTTTAATTTTTTTTATCTTAGACTATTGGAGCACTTCCTGAGGTTGATATTTTTTTTTCCCTACTTTTTAAATATTTATGAGAGTATTTTTTTAAAGAAGCGCTTTTATGAGTTGATGTTCCACAAGAAATGTTCCAGGTATATATTTTCAAAGTGCTTGTTATAGAAACACTTTAAAAGGGGCGCTTCCATATACATATTTTGTTGTAGTGCACCAAAACAAAACGTTATAAAAAACTCTACATGTATACATAAGGATTCATAGCCTCTTCAAGAGTAACAAGTTTCAAAATATGTAGCAAGATAATCAAAGAAGCAAGATGATTAACAAAACTAAAAAAAGTAGTTGCAAAGAGTTTAATGGTAGATTTGTAGCGTAGCAAAGAATTGAGAGCAGAAAAAAATTGTAGGATTTTTAATTTATAAAAGGCAAGATAGATAGAGAAGTTAAAGAATTAACCAGCTAGCTTTTTAGCCTGTTTGGATTGAAAGTATACTTAATTTTGGGGGCAAATAATCAATTTTTGGAAAGATTATTCAAACAGTCAAAAAATTTGATAATTGATTATTGAATTAAAATTATCTTTTAAATAAGCTCTAAAATGTTGCTTATAAATTTAATTTTACTATTAAATAATATACTTTACTTCTTAGATAAAATTTAACAAATTTAATAATATTAAATACAATTTTATTATTAATTTAATTTTAAAAAGTAATATGGTAATTTGTATAGTTAACATTAATTTCAGAAAAACAATATTCAAACATATTATGTTATAACATAATAAATTATAATAAAAATTAATTATATTAATTAATTATTTTTATAATTAATATTCAATTATATCCAACTTAAATTTAAATGGGCCCAAATTTATCTCTATGATTCATTGCTTGATGATGAACCATTTGGGCACAAGTTCACATGTTGGTAGATCAAAAGGCAGTTGCAGAATTAGGATTAGGCACTTGGTGCATTGCGCAAGTTGTAAAGTTATCCTCAAATGGGAGAGGTGGTGGGCTCAATCCCCAACTAGTCACGTTCCGATTTTATTTTATTTTTTTAAAGGGATTAGGGAAATAATAAAAACTCACAAGAAACTGGCCAAAGAATAAGGGACAAGGTTTCATCCCTAAAAGGATATATCAATATTACAGCGTAATTAGGATGAGAAAGAATGGTTAATTAAATAAATAAAACAATCAATATCATACTCGAAAAATGAAAATATATCTTGTATAAGTATGCATTACATTATCTCATTGATGCATTTGAATTCCTAATCCTATGTAGTTCTTATTTGACTTGCAACATATCTTGTATGTAAAGGGGGCTTTATTTATCTAGTGCAAGCATGAATCAAGATATAAAGTTCCTGAATGAAAGGGGAAATTCCATTAAAGGTCCTTAATCTTAAAGATGGATAGATAAACTTAAAGCATGATAATAATTTATCTTTATAATATTTTTAAAATATTTATTAATTTTATAAAATTTGAATTTAAAACTTTAGAAGATAAAGGTCAAACTTATGCATTAAAATGATTCCCCCCCGCCACAAAGGTGCTAAACATTTAGGGAAATGAAAAGCAAGAAAAATAATTCAAACTACTAGCTACACTTAATTCAATTTTATTTTATATATATATATATATATATATAAGTATAAAATAAATTTTCCTTTTTTGGAACTAATTTTTTTTAAAGAATGCAACTCATCGAATTAAAAATATAAGTGTTTATAATGCAAAGGTTTTTTTTTTTTTTGACCAACTATAATGCAACTGTTCAAACTTCAAAGTGTTACTTGAAGAGAAGGGAAGTTAAAATTCTATTTACTAGTTACTTTAAATTTTTTTTGTTACCGATAATAAGAACAAAATCGTGCAATGCAAATGCTAATGCATGCGGACTATATTTTGAAATCGTCCTTTTAAAATTTCTCTGTTTTTTAAAATTTATTTCATAAATATTTCTAAAAAAATAATTTAC